AAGCGACATTGTTATCTATAATACACAGCAGTGTACAGGAATTGTGATCGCAATTGTTACTTCTTGAGATTTAGTTTACAATATTCATGATCGGTGCAGCTATTGTTGCTGCTCGAGATCCTACGTCTCTACGTAGACGTGATCTACTCGCGAGGAGCAAGTATGTATTTGAAAGTAGACGCTTCTAGTTATAATTGTTGGTATTTCTCTTTAAGGCACATACATCATATAGTATACATGTCGACCAAGGCATCAATTAGAGCCCTGTCGTGTATATTGTATGAATGTATAATGTACAATGTATACTGTATATTTGGCCCACATCAGATCTTTCGGTGTGATCTGATATTGTGCTCCTTTGGGAAAGTTTTTATGATTGTGTTCCTAATAGGGCGGTAGCTTTTACAATTGACATATTTTTTTGGTGACATTTGAAGATAAGGACTAATGTTTATTCATATCTTGTTTGATCCACATTCACTCTGATGGTTGAGCCTGCTCTAGTTTTGCTCAAATATTCTTTTCATGATTAGCAATGTCTTAGCCTTACAGGTGAGACAGTTCAACTTAATGCGAGGTAACGTTATCTAACTACACCTTCCACACCCAGAACCATGGTTAATAATAATGAATAAGATGTTACAAATTACCCTGTGGCCATCCCAACACCTCTGATACTGTGTTCCAATGTCTACTAACGATAACGTGACGAGTAACCGTGACGTGTGTTACAATGATAACGATATGACTGTGTGTGTGGAGGACGGTATGCATCTGGGAAGCAGTGTTATGCCCATTGCTTCAACTTTGAGGAGATTCCGGGTTCTGATGGGGAGTCATGAGACTGGGGACCATTTTCTTAGACATCCGGTGAGTTTGAAGGTTATATCCTAGCCTGGTCATCATCCGGTGAAGGTTATCTTTTAGCCTGGTCCAATTCCAAGTATAATATAATAGTATGTATATAATGGTTTCGTTTAAAATTATGAATCCTCACTTTGATATAACCTGATATGATTAGGATAAACCTATGTCATTTTGCAATTTTAATGACGAAATCATCCTTGTCGGTAGTTTCGGGATTACTGTTACTTGCCGTTATATGTCCTATGACTCATGCATAGTGCAAACTCATTATTTTTATTGGCCCTGCTTGCTAGGTTTGAACTAAACTTATTCCATACAGCACCCTCCTGTCCCGTCAAGAAAATAATAATGTATAGTGTATATTTGTTAATTGTTCGACCACATCGAACATTTCGATGTGATCTGATGTTATGTTACGGTTCACTTTAACCCATTAGGGACGATAGGGTCGTTTACGACCCACCTTTTCTAGAGGCTATAGAGGACAAACCAAAATACTAAATGCCACGAATCTTTCGCACATATGCTCAAAATTTATTGGGCTACATTATTGACTTTCCAGTCGAGACCCAATTAATCACTAACAACTAAATAATTAGGCTAATTAGTCGCCATAATTGGAAAATATTTCACTTAACTTCTTGCCTTGATTGGGACATTTAAACTTTATGTAGGCTTATTTTGTTGAGGACAAAATAGTTGCGGGCAACGATTCCCTTGAGACATATGAAAAGCCCGTGATAATCAGATGTTCACAAACAGAGCTAGACGCTGTTTACTAACTGCGGTCGCATACGACCCACTCGTCCGGGTCGCAAACGACCCATCACGGTTTTTCGGCTTTAACTTCTGAAACAAAGACGTTAGGATAAAATAAAAACTGTAGCATAAGTTTAAAAAATATGGTCAATACTGTGTGACTCTAACTTTTAAAAAATAACGAATTTGGGTCATTAACGACCCACTCGGCTCACTTGCTTATTACTACATATGTCCATGTTACTTCTTGAATTCAGCTTAAAACATGACATCATAAGTGCAAAATCGCCTCTCAGCAAGTGATAATCATCATAAACTACGAAAAATCGGTAAAATGGGTCATTAGCGACCCACTAGGACCACAAAATTTATTAATTAAATATAATGTTGTCAAACTTTTACAAATATTAGTATAAAAACATGTTATATCTTGGTCATTACTCCTGTACGTTGATTTAACTTTTAAAATCGATCAACTGGGTCAATATCGACCCACTTGGAAGTTGAACCACGTCATCAATTATCAGTATCATGCTGCTCCACCATCAAGAAAGACACACGTTGGTCTTAATTCCACGCAAACCACGGTGGCTGACAACTAGCCCTTCTGATATCCAGGGCCAACTGAAGGGCCGTCATCACTCATCAAAGAGCTGCGAGAATAACACTACTGCATATGCCTGGAGTTGCGTCCTGACTATGGTGCGTGGAAATCTGTACCGAAAGGACCGTGGCCGTGCCGCAAAAGAAAAGGAAATCGGCCCTCGTTCCTAACTTGCTAGGTTAGCCATGCTGTTGTTGTTGCTTATTAGATTCTGTTACCTTTTTCGTCAATTTCGAATCTTGGTAAACGACCTGCTACAACCCACCGCTTGAGACCCAGGGTCCCACGGTGATCAGATCATGTCACTCAAGAAAAATCCCCTGAACGAAGTATACGAGATATGCTGTAACCTTGGGTAAATACTGAAAGACGAGTGGTTAAATTTCATAATCTAATCCAACATGCCAAACTGTTTGAGGTTCCTAGAAAGAACGAGAATAACTAAACAACTGATGCATTCAGATTGCTACATCTACTCTGTAAAGGACAGGGAAAAAGCCCCCCCCCCCCCCCCATCTGGCTGGCGGTGCTGCAACCTGCAATCTCTCAGACCTCGTTGTGGGTAACAAACCCCGCAACAACGAAGCAGCTTTTAAAAAACGAAAAGAAGTATTACGTAATCGGCCGAGAGGGAAGGGGTCAAGGGGGGTTTCCATATGATTACGCTTGTGTAATTTTGACATAATAGCTATGTGGTGGGGGGGGGGGGGCGTAAAAATTGTCCAATAAGTGATTACGCAATATATGAACGGCCCCTAAGAAGTAAAGAAAGGAAGCTGCGAAGAGAGTAGATGCAGCCATCTGAAATCTGAATCCAGCAGTTGTATAGTTCTTCTTGGACGTTCTAGGGATCGGGAAAAGATAGGCATGTTGTTTGCTGTCTCGCGACATTACGGTCGTGTTCTAACAGCTAATTAACTCGCCTACCTATCAATCCAATTCTGCCCATTATTATATTTGTCAGTGATTAGGTGACGTGATCTGCAGATCACCGTGAGACTCCAAATCTCAGGAGGGCTAGTGGTCAACCACCCGTGGTTTGCGTGGAATTAAGACCGACGAGTGTCTTTCTTGATGGTGGAATAGCATGATACTAATAATTAATAACGTGGTTTAACTTCCGAGTGGGTCGTTATTGACCCAGTTGATCGATTTTAAAAGTTAAATCAACGTACGGGAGTAATGACCAAGATATAACATTTTTTAACATATAACATACTAATATTTGTAAAAGTTTGACAACATTATATTTAATTAATAAATTTTGTGGTCCTAGTGGGTCGCTAATGACCCATTTTACCGATTTTTCGTAGTTTATGATGATTATCACTTGCTGAGAGGCGATTTTGCACTTATGATGTCATGTTTTAAGCTGAATTCAAGAAGTAACATGGACATATGTAGTAATAAGCAAGTGAGCCGAGTGGGTCGTTAATGACCCAAATTCTTTATTTTTAAAAAGTTGGAGTCACACAGTATTGACCATATTTTTTTAACTTATGCTACAGTTTTTATTTTATCCTAACGTCTTTGTTTCAGAAGTTAAAGCAAAAAAACCGTGATGGGTCGTTTGCGACCCGGACGAGTGGGTCGTATGCGACCATAGCTGTATCTTTTAAAGTAAACGAGATACAGATTAGCTTTTTTGGATATCTCATTTTTGCTGTAATGTGACCTAGTGTGTTAAACGGCATCAAAATCGGCAAACTTTAAAACTCGTCGTCCCTAATGGGTTAAACTTCTTGATAATTGTTTTGCCTCTTTTAGGCGAGAACTTCCGACTGGCTAACTGTTGGTGTGGTTTGCAATAACTATTGTTATTATGTACGTATTTCCAATATAAACTACGAATAGTTCGCCTCTGGGAGCTGTCTTAGCCAAATTGTTAAATTCATGAACATACACATTTACTTTGTAATGGAATTTACAGCGTTGGCTTAATGAATTCGAAGGTAATTTAACGATTAACCCACCCTGCCTACTGCCTAGTTGATCTATAATGTAATCACCGTCTATTTCTCCCCGTATCATAATGTGAGCAGCTTTAATCTTGAGTATGGATACTTACAGACTATACCATAACTACAGACTTACTATAACTACAACAGTGCTGCTGGCGCAACCTAGCAAATAACCAACATAGTAAGTTTACACCTGTGTCGAATATAAGAACGTGAATCTGAGACAGCATACCACCTGACCTATTAAATTGGATGATCAAGGTTCAATCCAGCTGGCCATCATTTTCTGAATTCACTTTTATTCGGTTACAGCTCCAGTGATCTATGTACCTAATGAACAGCGACGACTCGGCCATTGTCATATTCAATCCTACCCTGCAGGTAAGATGATCCTTTATCACAGCAACCTGAATTCTGTCTGAACCTTATCTAACTGCGTAATCGTGAGATCAGGGTCCGAAATTATCAGTTATATAATACGTTTTCAAAGTTTGTGGGATGCATGAGCAGAAAAAATGTGTGGTTTGAGTAGGAATGTGGTACCACTTATTCAGCGGAAAATAGCAAATAATAGAGTGTTATTTTACCGATATTTGTATGCCTGCAAGGTCGTAGTAAAAAAAGTTGTATATCTTAATCTCAATCTTAATATTTCGGTTTATGCAACAGCGGTACGGTACAATGAAACCTGCTAATTAAAGGAGCCGAGGTATAATTAAAATTGTTTGCAAACTACGAAATGAATAGCTCAATAGTAACACTGCACTGTTCGTTGTTTATTACATCGGAGTTCTAAGATTCTAGTTCCTACTTTTAGTCCCTCTTTGTTTGTTCTGTAACCGTTAGTACTTTTTCTTATTCCTATCTCGAATTTCCTTGTTATTTGAAACTGTAGTCCTCTAGCGAGATCCCCCGATCTAGTGATCCAGAAGTTTGGTAGTCACTGTAGCAGCTCACAGCTGTTGTTGTTGGTATTGTTGTTGTCAAGATGAACGGCTGCGAGGAATTCCCTTACGACAGCGACGAAACCACGTCTTGCCAGGGTAACTCTGACTCGGAGTTGACTGTTGATGAGATAGAGTATAACGACACTATAGTTAGAGGTGTTAAATGGAAAGCTGCACTGAAATACATGAAGGGGGACGAAGAGTTGGGTTTATTAAAACAGGTAATTTTCTAGATCAAGTTGGGTCGGCATATTATATTGACTTATTGTGATATTTTCTTGGGACAATTCGTTTAGAATACGGAATGACGGCCCCAGGCAGATCTCTTCGGGCATAAGTGTGATACGAATGAGAAGTTGTTATCTGGACTTCTGTGAGGCCTTGGCAAGAATGTTGCGTACCTCAGTGCATTTCAGCTGGTCAGATACATAGATCAGATTACAACCACCTGTACTTTGTATTAACAAATTTACCGTAATATTGTACGTTCAACACTGAAACTGGTTTCGTTTGTTTTATATTCTAGTTTGCTTAATAGTTAATTGATTGTGAGGTTTTATTCTTTTATTTGCACGAATGTTCTCATGGTTCAATTCAGACCGCTTAACGTTAACGCTGGTGGGCGGTATTATATACTGATTTCGGTAAGGATCAGTTTTACAATCAGATTGATTATGCAAGCAAAAGTAGAATCGCTACTGTACTCATTTATCTTGTCTGACTGTATTTGCGATCGTATATGTTTCGTAAGGTCATCTCGCAAAAATTGTTATCCTCTAGATTTGGGTCTCAGTTCAATCTTCGATATTTCGTGCTTCCAATATTTTGTGCATCGCCACGAGCACGATGTATCAGGTGCACTTTAGTTCAAATACCCATGCTGATGGAACCATGATGATGTTGATCAGAATACAAGAATCAATATTCATTATTATGATTATGATAAACATCTAAATTCTGTAACATATTATTTTCAGGACGTAAAGGAATATTGGATCACGAAACATTTCAAGGGCGTGACCTGCAATAGATTTATAAAGGATCCAACTGATTACAAAGACTCAACCTTGTAAGCAGTTCTTAGACAATGAGCAGATAAATTATGATCACCGATGAAGCTTAAACAGTACAACGAATTGCATGTTATTCTAAACGTGGACCTATAATCGCTAATGAAAGCTCCATTTTCAGATGTAAGTGTGGACGTTACGACAAGGATCATGAGAAAACCAGGTTCCCCTGCACCACGGAGACAGACTCCACCATAGCGTGGACTACTGAGACGTGCACTGCCTCCTTCACTACTAACGCTTTCGGGCACATAAACTTTACTAAAGTGGAAGCTGATGTATTGCCAAAGGTAACTTCATGTCAGAGTAACACGTTTTGAAACCTTGTATTGTATTTCATTACTTTGGCTTGATGTTGACTTTCAAGAGTTTGTCTCAGATGTTGGAAATTCTTTGTTTAAATACGTCATCAAAATGTTCATTACTACACTATCAATGCCATAACGGCAGTGGGTTGTGATAAACTTTGATATATGATAATCGTTCAGTACCTACGGTTCCAACATGACACGGATATAAAACTTATCAGAGAACTTATCAAAGACAAGTGGAACCTTCCAAAGACTTATCTTATCATGGTCGTCATCGGAGGTAGAGTTGTTTGATATTGCTTTAATCTTATGAGAAGTTTAATTGGTTTTATTGTTCCTTCATTCAATTTTATTAACGAGGTTTGATCGTAATCTTCTTACAGCGTTCGATGTCTAGGTAGAGGGTCCGCAGTAGTCCCATCACCTTAGTACTTTAGTATTGCTGTACAACTACTACATTCAATTTTATTCTTCAAAACACCATAAATGTTGATTTTCCCCCAAAATATTGGTTTCTTCATTTTAACATTCTGTTATAAAATCTTTATCGTAATAATCGTATCAAAGGTCTGAATTGCAAGGATAAAGAAAGCAATGTACACAAATCAAATCAGTGTAGGTTTTGTGCTATAACATCACTGCTAAGTGAATGTGATCATATGATAAATTACTTTGACGAAGAAGATTTGAAAATCATTGCTAAACTAATTCAATGAACCAGAGATACAAGGATACTGGTAGACAAGTGAACCATATTTGTTTTGACACGTGACAGTGATTAATGCTTTTATTCGTTGATACTCAAAGCTGGTTGATTTATCAATAATCGCTGTTACGTGCCAGAAAATATGGTTCACCTCTTTACCAATATCCAGATCTAGTGTTTTCAGTATGGATGACTTATCTTTTCTGTGTACTGTCACGAGATGATTTATTTGGTTTCCTCCTCTGCTTGAACTTTGCAAGTCGTCTTTCTTATTCTGCAACTTTGCCAACTTTGAGACAACTTCATAATTCTATCAGCATTTATTCTTTGTTATAAGCATTCTCGAAGCGTCGCTTTTGAATCACCCCAACTATATTTGATCTTATCTTCCCTCTAGGTCTTGGTGGATTAATCGTTGAGACTGATGCCGTAAACGATGCTCACGGTAAGTTCAATTATTCATTCTTTGCAATGAACTCCGTGAACCATTTGCCAGCTAAATTTCTCTCATTAACATACTGATACATATTCTATATATAATTATAAAATGTTCAGGCAACGGATTTAGGAGATATAGCCACAAAAAGCGTGAGCTGATTGAGAAGATAAAAGATGGATTAGTAGAGGCAGCTCTCTCTACTCAGGCCTGGATCATCACAAGCGGTGTTGATAGCGTAAGTTACCAGGGAAGCCAATAGAATTACACTAAAAGCTTGTAATTAAGAGGCCAGTTTTTCGTGGTGGTGGTATAAAGTCAGATGTTTTCAACATCGTTTTTCAGAATATTTCATGTGTCTTCACCTAATATCTCAGGGTGTTTCCAAGTTGGTTGGTGAGGCGGTGGGAACACGCAGAACATTTACTCAAACCATCCCAACTTTAGGAGTGGCTGCTTGGGGCACCATCAGGGATAGGAACCAACTTGAGTACGACAGTTGCGAGGTGAATAGGCTATAGAACAGACCATAGAACAGACCATAGAACAGACCATAGAACAGACCATAGAACAGACCATAGAACAGACCATAGAACAGACCATAGAACAGACCATAGAACAGACCATAGAACAGACCATAGAACAGACCATAGAACAGACCATAGAACAGACCATAGAACAGACCATAGAACAGACCATAGAACAGACTTTTAACAGACCATAGAACAGACTTTTACCAGACCATAGAACAGACTTTAACAGACCATAGAACAGACCATAGAACAGACCATAGAACAGACTTTTAACAGACCATAGAACAGACTTTTACCAGACCATAGAACAGACCATAGAACAGACTTTAACAGACCATAGAACAGACCATAGAACAGACCATAGAACAGACCATAGAACAGACTTTTAACACACCATAGAACAGACTTTTACCAGACCATAGAACAGACCATAGAACAGACTTTAACAGACCATAGAACAGACTTTTAACAGACCATAGAACAGACCATAGAACAGACCACTGGTGATGTTAACTTATGAAGCTTGACACAACCAGTCTGACCTGTCTGATTATTGCCACTTTAAACTGATTTATTACAGGGTTTGTTCCCGGCTAACTACACCGTAACCGAAGGTTCCAGAATGTCTGGACAGATCGCTCTAGATCATAACCACACCGCTTTTCTTCTGCCTGACTTTGGTACACACCGAAGCTATCATGTTAACAAGGTAATTTATCCTATATTTCCAGTAGTTTTCCATAGTTTTCATTCGGATCATTTTAAATATCGTGGCTCGTCAGTATGCAAGTGTAAGTAGTGGTACAGCTGCCCAAAGTTTGGTTTTGTTCATGATTATTAGATTTTAGTAGATATTTGCAATATGTACATTTCAGATGTGTGATTTTAAGATAAACCTTGAAAAAGAGCTCAAGGAAGCAACCAAGTCCAACCTCATTACCATTTTGATAGAGGGTTAGTTAGTAGTTAATACAAATTGAGTAGTAATCGAGATTAAAATTTACATTGTATTAATAAAAAAAGTTTTAATAACCATGCTTAACTTGCAATATTAATGTATAGTTCTTTGATAGTTTTAAGAATTATTAATTTATAATTAATGACCAATGAATGAGAAACCCCTTCCCCTGCAGGAGGACTGTCCTCTCTGATTGAAGCGGGAGAAAGAGTGAAAAATAAGATCCCGATAGTGGTAATGAACGGGACTGGCAGAGCAGCAGATCTTATTGGGAACGCTAGACAGCTTTTACAACGACATAATGGGGTCGACGATCCAGAGTAAGTTTGAACGCTTATCTCAAGTCGAGAAAGTATAATATTGTGAATCCTATTTCCAAAATGGCTCTCAACACCTTAATGTTATTCGAATATTCTTTTTAAAATTACAATCCCATGGCAAATGTTCTTCCCAGGTTTTTAGAAGAGCTGGAAAGGGAGTTTGATACTCACTTTACGAAATCTAGAGATCGGATTGGCAACTTAACACAAGCATTTGATGCGATAAAGATAATATTAAAAAGTAAACATTTGGTAACAATATGGGACCCCTCCGTATCAGATGCTGGTAAGATAGACAAGGCAATACTGTTGGGTCTGATAAACTCGTTAGCAGAACCAGACTCCACGCAACTCTCCTCTGACCAGACTTCAGACGGTTCTGCTTCACAAGGTGACCGCAATTTTTAAAGCTTATAATGTTTTCTCTTCATCAGAAACTATCCCGCGATTTTTTTCAACCCAAACCTCCGTGTTCATATCTTACTCTTCACCAAGTGAACAATGAGATAAGAATAAAAACTAAGAATTGAGAATAACACTATCTCCTATTTTAGAGGACACGGACACCTGTACTTCACGTCACGTGAGAGAGTTCAACCAGCTCGAACTAGCCATCAGATGGAACAGACTGGATCTGGCGGAGGAGCATCTCTTCAAGGGTAAAGACTTCAGTATGGAACAGCTCAACGAGCTGCTCTGGATTGCTCTCGAGCACAAAAATATTAACTTTGCTTCCTCTATTCTGACAAAAGGAGCTAATTTAAAGAGATACCTTACGGAGAAGAGGTTCTGGGATTACCTTAACTCAAAAAAACACCTTGCCAAGAGCCCACTAAAGAAGCTCATGAAAATGCATGTTTCAGTAAGTAGTCAGAAATAGTACCAGTACACAGTAGATATGTTTAATCTAATGTATGTTTAATCTAATGTTTCAAATCCCTGTTTTCGAAGCCAGCTTTTTTTGGCATTTCATTTCGTATTTAAGCTGCAAACTAAATGACATCCATTATTAATTTCAGCATAACATAAAGGAATTTAACGATAGCTTTATTTATGAGCATTTCTTCAAAGTCATCTATACGATCAGTCAGGGAGTTTACAAATGTCCTAAGAAAATGACCCCGTAAGTACAAGATTCCTACCTATTTAGACTCACTTTTTCGATTCCAAGAGGACCATTTTATTTTGTAATACTTGGAGAAAATCGTAAAAATTTCAAATATACTGATTACGATACGTTTTAACTTAATGAGCTTATTCCTAACTTAATGATCAGTAATAAAATGTTATAACTCATAGTCCATCTATATACTTGATTTCAGTTCAGAGACTTGCAATGCTGTTGTCTCCAAGAAAGGAATGTTGATGAAGGATATACTAAGCTGTGGGTTGGGATACAACCACATCAAGAAAGTAAACATGTCTAACTACTGCAAACGTACACTTGGGGACCTACCACCGGGCGTTTCTCCGCTACCTGACTTTGAGGTTTTTAACTGTAAAAAATTGAAATACTCAATGAAATAAACAATAAAAGACGCAAAAAATGCTATAAAGTTAGTGATGAATAGCGGTTTTGTTTTGAGAAAATGATGGTAGTTGGAACCTTATAAAGCTGTAACGTAATTGTGACCAGCTGGTCATATAGAGAAAACACGGCGACTTAAAAGCATGGTGTCTTAAAAGCATGGTGTCTTAAAAGCACGGCGACTTAAAAGCATGGTGTCTTAAAAGCATGGTGTCTTAAAAGCATGGTGTCTTAAAAGCATGGTGTCTTAACATCTCATATCTTAATCTCTCCTGTACAGGATCCAGAGAATCTGCTGGTATTGTACTTTGTTCTGATCTACGAACACGATGTTGCTAAGTGTTTATGGAGGTACTCCAGAACTCCGCTCATGCTCAGCTTGGTAAGTGACATAATCATAAAGTTGGCAAGATCTTCGAATAATACCCTCGCTAGAAAATATTGGCTCAACTCCGACTAGTAAATGGTCTATGACTAGTGTTGATAGCTGATAGTCGATATGAAATTCATATATTCGACATCTGTTATCTATTAGGCAGGCTTCCAGACGATTTTAATTTAACTCAGCAGCCAGTCTCGACACAATTATTTGGTCATTAATCGGCTAGCGCGATTTTAAAAAATGGGATAATTAGAAATCTAAAAGCCCATGTTTTACAGATATGCGCTCATGTATGTGGTTGGCTAGCTGACCAAGAGAAACGACGAAAAGAAATCACCGGAGAAGACAAAGTCCAATTGAGAAAATGGAAATGGTAAGGCTACACTGATATATCACTATAGCTATACTACACTGATATATCACTATACTAATCTATACTCTATTTTGAAGTTGACGAAACCTCCCTGGCAACGACATAAAAACTAGGGAATACTTTGAACTTTATTTTTATCGTCGATAACTTATCGATAAATAAAAGTTTACATGTACATTGTACATGGTAAAAACTAATAGAAGTTGTTGAAAAGAAGTAAAATTCTACATTTTTACATTTTGTAAGTGGGTTGATAGTTTGTTATAAATTGTGCGACTTTGCGTACACTGTTCATGTTGTTTTATCTAACATGCCCGATGATTGTTTTATGGTCGCTAATTTCAATCGTTATTAAGTATTAACAACTAACAAGCTCCTACATGGAAAGTAAAACAACAATTAATGAGTCAACGTTTTTTTAAAAGTCAATAATCAAATAACAAAACCAAATAATTTTACATAGTCATACATCAAATAAAAAAATCGTTTAGCTGTAAAAAAATCTATAGACAAAAAGATATTTTCAAATAGAAATTTAGGGTAAAAAGTTCTTTAAAATTATTTCATAAAATCTTTCGACTTCATAAATTCAATCTTGCATCCTGTGCAATAAACTGAAATGAAAATCTCGAACGTAGTCAATATTATTCTTTAAATATAATGTAAAACTAAATAAAATGTTCAGATTATTCCAACTTGGCGTCTGCAAAGTTAGTGCTTAAATTCACTGTGTCAGTTTCTGGAAGGTTTGGAAAGTTTATTCGGTATCAAGGAAGGGAGGATCACCTTGAAGGGGACATCCTGAGTTATAGACAGCTTCCTGGAACTCTCGTTTAGACCCACATCCAATCTGCTGGAGAAAGTTCCTCGGGACTTTAAATCCAGCAACCTGACAGTGTTGCGCTATAGAGTTAGCGTAGGCACAGAGAGCTGATCCCTCATATCGCTCCACCTTAGCAGCACATCCATCCACTATGCAGGAGTCCCTGTAGAACTTAGTGCCGATAAGAGTTTCACATTCCGAGAAAGCTTCTGACTGTAGATATTATCGCAAGTCTCCTCCACCTCAGCTTGGTTGTCGCAGGTAACCTCTCCGACAGGTTCCTCTACTCTACACCAGTTGTATCTGTAGCCCCAGCTTGTTCCAAACTTGTTGGTATCGTCTCCTGTGAGTCCGAACCGTCCCTGGTACAAGTCATCTCCAGCCTCTCCGTTGTTGTTACCGCACAGTCCCATGGTGGCTACTCCAGGGCTGGCGATGATTTGAACTCCCCAGAACCCGTCAAACTGAAGTTTTATCCCGTGAACCATGCTGCTCAGCTCTATCGTTAATCCGGTGTAGCTCACGATCAGGTCGTCTATATCAACTGGCTTGTTCTTCTTGAGACGGAACTTCTCTCCGTTCTGTGCGACTATCCAGCCTCTGGTGATTATCAGGGGTGCCTTGCTTCTGTCGTGGTGAATTGTGATCTGCTCCAAACAGGTTACTCCGTTTCCACATGGCATAAATCGACCTGAAATAAGTTGCTGTTAGTAAAGTGTACATCCTGAGATATATGGGAACTAATTTTACAATTTTGGTATGTCTGTTTGATATTGAGAATAAACATAGGGGTTCCGAAAGAATAAAATTATGATTTTAGAAGTTATAGGAAATCAGGCTTTGTATTTCAAACTTACCAACAATCATCCACGAGTGTGCAGTGGCATCCATTGCTAAGACGTAGTCGCACGCTCCCATGAAATCATAGGTCCTTCCATCAAATGTCTGCACATGGGGATCTCCGAAAACTTTGCAGACTTTTTCCGTAGGTTTAACAACGGAGTTATCTTCTTCTTTGGGAAGTATGACTACTTCGACATCCTTGGAGATGACCTTGTTGTTGCATTGCATAGCAATTACCTTGTAGACTCCAGCGTCTTTCTCCGTTACTTCTTGTACAACGTGTTCGCTGTCTTCAGTCACCATCTTCTGTTTTCCGTTCTGCCTCATCTTGACCCATTTAAGAGATGTAGGTTTGGGACTACCAGTGTGGGAAACAGTTAAAGACAGGCTCTCTCCCTCGAACAGCTCAATCCTGGTGGCAGGTACAGTTAGTTCTAGTTCGTCGATCCTGCATTCTCCTTCGCTAACAAATGCCAGGGGGATGTTGTTCTCACAACTGTGAGTCTTCATGTGGCAGGTGTTGAAGTAGGTCTGACAGTCAGAAGCGCAGAGTGGTTTGTAGGTTGAATCTTCACAAGGTTTGCACCTGCATTCAGTGGTAAGAGTCTCGTAGTTGGCAGAACAGAACTTCCTTTTAGGGCACCTCACTCCCTTACACGGGTCCTCCTTAACGTCCAAGTAAGCTCTGCTGAAGGTAACTCCGTGTTGGTTGGATACGATGCAGACATACCATCCGGCATCAGTTCGGGCCACATTCTTGAGAGTCCTCTCGACGCTCACTTTGCTTTCCAGAGACCTAAAACCTGCTCCACCAACGTTGAACATGTTGAAGTCAGATATAGTGTCCTCTTTCACGATCATAACGTTAGGAGTGGGGTTACCTTCTCCCTTGCAGAGGAAATTAGCAGTTTCTCCGACTCCTCTCGTCAAGTTGGCTGGTCCTTCCAGTATAACAGGCATGAGATCCTCCAGAGCAGATGCTCCAACAAATAAACAGGCAATAACAAGCAACATGTTAAACAGTACGGTTAAAACTTTGTAGTAAATACTATCGAGAGAAGTAAACTAGATTGATGTTCAGCTCAGTGGAGCTCCCGCTATATATACTAGCTGCAGAATATCCGCCCTAAGATACGGATAATGTCGTGAGAGCTGGCTCCTCCTAGTTTGACGAGGTCGGGCTTCTATCACGTCGTCAGAATCCAACACTCCTAGAATTTAACACGTCCTTCAGTGTGACGTCTAGGGGAACTGCTTAGCCCAAATAAGGAAACGCTGTAGTCATAATCTTGTAGTTATTATGATCACGACGTAATGTCAGATATATCATATTATTCATTACATCATCCTAATACACTATGTAGTATGTATTAGCTTATTAGGATATGATAAGCTAACTTCTATTATTATCACAATTATGTTAATCAGGCAATTGATAGGCAATTACCTTAAATTTAATTAGTTAGTTAATTAATTACCTCTGTTTTGTTCAGTGAGTGGGAAGGTTTAGCGATAAAGATAGTTGACACAACTAACGAGAACTATGATGCTAACTGGGTACAGGATCTCATCAAGCACCGGTTCTATTCGTGGGGAGGCCGCTCTTCCATCGAGGTAATGTAACTGTGCGCAACGAGGGGAGCGTTGCTGTACTTTACTATGTCAATGACACGTGGCAAATACATAGTTATAATACATGGCTTATACAAATTCTGAAGGAAATGTTTCGCGTTCTTATTCGCAAATTGCCTCAAAATGGTCTTCATAATATAACTATCAAATCTAGAATATTTTATTTATTTATTTTTTCCAACCTCAACTCATCATGCACTATTTCAGATAGCTGCGTTCATGAACTCGCACCTGTTTCTGGGGCACCCTGGAGTACACAAGTACGTTACAGATAGCTGGATGGGATCCTTGGATCCTGACACCAGCTACTCAAACATTCTGGTTGGGATTCTGTGTACCCCTATATTCATTGATATCAGGAGATTCAAGAAAATCATTCAACCTGCTATCTCAGAGGAGGAAATCGTTAGTTTGTGATCCGATTTTAAAATGCTTTTGTAGTCTCTACTGTCTTCTTAAGATCGATACTTGATACAAAATCCCCTAACCGTTATTTTAAATTAAGATTTCTAAATTCCTGGCCGTATTGTTATTTAACACTTATTTAACACTTATTTCAGAAAGAAAAACAGAAGAACGAGTTCATAAGCCAAAAGAAAAAGCTCACTAAAGGAGACACGGAGTTGGGTCTCAGAAAGAAGCGGTCATGGTCTCTAATGAGAAGCATTCATTACGCTTGTCTCAAGTTCATCTGGTTTCATCGGGCACCTGTTACCAAGTATTTCGTCAATTTGGTAAGAAAATTAATACATTTTTATAATTTATCTAGCAAAGCTACACGCTATTTAGCTAATAATACACCATACAACCTCAACTCCTCTCCTCTGATCCTCTATAATGCTGTACTTTTATTTTTAGTTAAATTAGCTTGTGTTTGTGATAAGTCAAAGGGTTATGGTTGGGGTTAAATGCGCCTCATTATGATTACTGTAGAAGCTGAAATCTTATCATTACTCTGGGATTTGATTTTAACTTATTGCTTTGCTGTAAAACTTTCAAACACACATTTCAGCTGATATACCTCTCATTCCTGATGGTGTTCTTTTGCGCACTCGTTCTCAACGACAGCAATCAAAAATATCTCCTCGGATCCCGCTTTAAAGACTTCAGCATTCTAGAGTTGACAGTCATTCTGTACATGGTATCGACGATTCCTCTTGAGATGCGGCAGGTAATACATCTCAATATCATATGATAATTGTTTTAGATATAGGAATGAATATTATACTCACTCTCAGTGTCCATTCGTCCTATATCAAGTTTTAATCAATTCTCCATGAAGCTGTAGCATTTTTTCCAGTCTTAATCAAAGAAATACGTCGTAAGAAAACATTTTATATTAACCGTCTACCAGGTTTATCATAGCATGCCCTCGACGATAAAAGCAAAGCTCTTCTCTTACTGGTCCAATACGTATAACAAATACGACGTTTTCAGTCTCATCACTCTGCTTCTTAGTGTTATGACCAAGTTAGTTTTATTTCGCTATGCAACAAAAATATCGCATAATATAAATATTAAATATGAAGATTTTAGAAGAATCCATAGCCAAATTTATCTTGCTATTAGCGCCAATGAATCTAAATCAATGGCGCCAATAATTGTCGTTTCCACATTGTTGCATATCTATTTGTTCCTCCCTCTCAGTGATTAATAATTTTTCAGGCAAGGGTATTTTACGCTTGGTAAAGGCGACAAATATCAGATGTACGATATGGTGGCATATAAATCACTCATGGGCCTGACCTTCTCTCTTACTACTACAAGACTTCTTCAATTCCTTCAAATCAACTCGAAAATGGGACCCAAAGTAAGTAGAAAGTACAACTGTACTTTCATGACCCAAATGTTGTCTCAATTGTCATACTTACTCGTCCTTTTCAAATCTCATAATGTCACCAAGACGTTTCTACTTTCTAATCTAAATATTTATGTATTTTATTAGTGATACAAGTCTATTCCAGGTATCAACGATAACTCGAATGTTCATCGATTTACTCTTCTTCATTTTTATCATCGCCATCTTCATTGTCGCTTATGGCGTTGCTACTGAAGCGATCATCTTCCCCATCGGAAAGGAAGATGGTATTACCAACCTTTGGAACATTATCTGGAGACCGTACGTGCATTTGTTTGGAGAACTAGCGTTAGACACTCTTGATGATCAGTTGAATATTGGTTACTGCAAACTGAAAATCAAAGTACAGAACGGTGAAACAGCTGATGAAATAGACTATTCGTCCTGTTTGGGAGACGACAGTTTGTTCTCCTGTGACGAAGACAAGCCTTGTCAGTACGCTAGGATAGTTGTTCAAGTCTTCCTTGCCATATACATGATGTTAGCCGCTGTGCTCATGTTAAACCTGCTTATTGCTGTCTTCAGTAAGACCTATGAGACAATGACGGTGGAGAATCGGGACAATTTGCTGTGGAAATGGCAGAGGTATGATCTGATGATGGAGTTCAAGCAACGCTCGGCGGTTCCATTTCCGCTCAGTCTTATAGCGTATGTTCTGCGGTTGGTAAGGTGGTTGTGGAGGCGGTGTTGCTCGTGCGGTAGTGCACAATTTTTCGAACGGAGAGAGGCTCAGAAGAAGAACGACGAGTACAAGAAAGCTCAGATGTCACTGCTGGAGCGGGAGTGTCTGAGGAATATCATTAAGAAGATTGAGGTTGACGCCCAGAAAGAGCGTGGTAGTGATCCAGAGTGAGTATTTACGTTTTTATTCGGATATTCTTAACTCGCTTGTGACCAGAATGGTATGTACATTTCCTTTTCTATCTTCTCCATGTCAGATAACATATTTTGATATTAGCAGTTTTCGCTAGAATTTTCCTTTTCAGGACCGAGAAACATCGCAGGAACGACAGATCAGTTTCTCCTCTGAAGAGAGAAATTCCAAAACCGTTAGGATACGAGGAGGAACTAGATGAGAATGAGATAGACGGCTTAATCGCTATAGCAGAGGATATCCAGATAACATTTACCTCCCCTACCACTCCCCCACCTTCCGGACGATTCAATCCTATGGAAAAATGTAGGCAACCAAATGTTTTATCAATGATGTATTGCTTTATTTCATCGGCTAAAAGTAAGACTGCGAATAATTATAATTAACTATCGATCATAATTGTATCGTGAATCTTGAAAATGTTAGAACTAATTAGTAGTATTCCTTCCAATCATTTTCTCGCACAGATTTGGACGATATTCTTGAGAACACATGTTATCCTCGAAGTGACAGTGTACGATTTCATTTGAACTCCGAGAAAAGAGACTGGAACATGAGTCTCCCTAACTACAAGCCGACCATTCTTAACCTCGACGTTAAAGGTTAACTTCTTAGTTTTTTTTTGTAATTTAACTTTTTATTTTATGATTCATACAGTTTAGTATGTGAATTAGAAATTAACAGTAACACAAACAGTAACACAAACAGTAACACAAACAGTAACACAAACAGTAACACAAACAGTAACACAAACAGTAACACAAACAGTAACACAAACAGTAACACAAACAGTAACACAAACAGTTACACAAACAGTTACACAAACAGTTACACAAACAGTTACACAAACAGTTACACAAACAGTTACACAAACAGTTACACAAACAGTAACACAAACAGTAACACAAACCTCACACAGAGGAATTGGAAACCGACTGGAATGTGTCCGGAAAGAATGCAAGCTATGATGGTCACTACGCTGTCGAGAAGTCCTATCCTCGAAATCCACTAGGAAGAACTGGGATATTCGGGAGAGGTCATCTGCCCAGATACGGGCCCAACTTTAAATCTATTCCTATCCTGACAAGGTTTGACACATTTTACATAAGAGATAAACTGGGAGAAGTCGATAAATGTGTATATTTGATTGATCCTTTGTAGCCATGATCCTCAAAAAAAATATCAATGTTTATTTTCTTTTTATATCGGATTTATTATTTAGAAACAAAAACACTATTCGTCTCAATATCCCGCAGGTTCAAGGTCCCCGAAGAAGCCCCTAAGTTGGACACGCCCTTAGAAGTGCTGGTTGAGTTTCCCGACCCCGCCAACAAGCGATATTATGATCTTCCTGAGGTACTGACTTTTGAATTAATACAGCTAGCAGCAACTATTATAGGATTAATGTAATCTGTCAGCGACGAATAACTTCTACCAGTCAAATATTGTGTTTAGTTTGCTGTTTACAGCGAGAAAAAACGTTAAGGGTCGAAATCATAATTCTAGTTTAAACTTAAAGGCCGTTATCTTTATCATATTTTCTTATTTTTAGTTAGATTCGAAAGCTGATGAACCTCTGACAAGTGGATTTATCAAAGAGTTGTTCTCACATATCTCAAGCACAAATGCCTCAGCCAGAATTCAACTCAAGAAAATATTAAGAAGGTTTGAATTTTTGTTGATTAACACGGCATTGGTCTTGAGTCTTGACAGTAAGAATTTGTGGACGATTTTAACCTTGATTTTAAATTTATTCGTAATATAATCAGGGGTATATTGATCAAAAGAGGAGCTGTAGATTCAGACTTAAACACGGATAATGCGTGGGTCGAGGTTTTCATAGCCAGTTACCATGACGACGAGGAACTGGCGCTCAGAGGGGTTCAGTTCCAGGTTAGACTTTCTTTCTACTTTTATTGTCTTTTCTAAATTTAACAATCTGCCTACAAGTTACAAGTAAATCTTTATTTTAGTCTCACTTCTTAACACTGAATCTCCCTTTTCAGGCTGACAGCAAATACGGTTGGGTGACAGTGACAAAGGAGATGTTCCAAGATAAGATTCATGCACGTTACTTCGAGAGGGTCGTCTACAATCGCCGTGTATCGCAGTACGTTGGACACGACGTCAATATTTAAACAAATGAAATATTACTTTGGACTTAATGAATAAACTTTTAAAAAATGTGTTACCAAGATTTATTATATATCCGGCTTTTACTGCGATTTTTGATTTTGTATCATTTATATTGATTATGCATAATCATTGCGTTGTCTGCTGCAATTATGATGTATGGTCGTGCGCATTTTGAGAGTTTTTAAAATTTAAGACAGTTTCCTCGTATTGGTAAAATTGTGTTTATTTTTGATATATTTGGGTATTTATTTTTAATTTGTAGTATTATAATGTATTATTGATGCAATTGTGATACAATCAAAATGACTTCTTAATTCGATTAAATACTTATAATACTATGCGAAATTTGTCTACAATTACGAATTATATTTATACCGTCATCCTTTTATTTGCCCCCCTACGCGTTAACTTTTTTCCGCACTTAATTCATAATTGCAATTAGACTCTCATCTGAAGATTTTTAATTTTTTTAAACAAAAGAGCCCTAGTAAGTAGCATGTTCATGTATAAGTTTACCATGCATAATTAAACGGCAAATCTAACCTAGTTTGTTAGCTTATTGCTGATCGCTACTTTTATCTTTACTAATATAGTAATACTGGGCGGCGCTCAGCCTGTGATCATTCCGACGAATCTCGCGTCAAATTCAAAATTACGAATTTCGCCAAATTACGCGACTTTTACACCTACTTTTGCTCCAAAATATATATGAACATAATTGATAATATAATAGCCTGGGGTCCCCAGGTAAAGCTATGTGATCTGAGCTTAATAATAATATAATTACTAACAGACTTACAAAAACTGGAAAAACTTGGTGGATATCCAAACATCAAAAATTATGTCACGTTGACGGATGTTACTCGTCTAAATTTCTTCGAAGTAGAGCGCGCCGCTTTTTACAAGTGCTACGAAGTAGCGCGCGCCGGGCCAAACCATTAACAATGGTCAAGTATTACGTCGTGATTTACTGGGCCGCGCTCAGCCTGTCATTCCGCCAAATCTTTATTATGTTAATGAACATAATAGCCTGGGGTCCTCAGGTAAGTCGTGATTAGCTAAATGAGGGGTTATCGTTTGTACGATACAAGCGGGTCATACAACGTATGACAACTCAAAACAACAACTTTTAATTTTGCTCTATTTTCATTACTATTTTTGCTCTATCCAGAGCCCTTGCGCTTGCAGTAGCGCGCGCGCCCGCCTCACGGCGGTAAAAAGGGCTCTAGCCATGAACCCACCCAACGATTTTGGCACCACTCTACAGTGGTGCCAAAATTACCCGCGCTTTTGTCCTCACTCCTCATATACGACGTGTGTAGCCTTTCAGACATTGATTGCGTAAACGAGGTGTCGTACGTCATCTCAAGATCGGGTGACAGGGGGCTGACCATGCCCGAACCTAATTGATCATTGATTGGGTCTGAGGTCACGTGATTATGAGCCTATGAGGTCACGTGACTATGACGTCACCAGACCTTGTCCTCCGTTTCCCGCTCATTGGACCAGGTGAGCTTGCATGCTTGTGAATGTAGGTGTAAGTACAGCTGTACTGTAGATTATACCTAATTAACTTGTAGCGCGATGCACTACTGGGTCGCGCGCGCGCATCCAATAATGCTTCTCGCAACCACGTATGCAGATCGGCGAGATGTTGATTCACGATGTCAATCCTTCGCAGCTCGGTGAGGCAGTGGTGCATCTCGCCGATCTACCGAAGTGTGGTTGCGAGAAGCATTATTTGATGCGCGCGCGACCCAGTAGTGCATCGCGCTACAAGGCGAGATGCGAAGGCCGGATTGACATCGTGAATCAACTAATTAACCCCTATACACTGTCACTATGTACTATAGAAACCTGAAAAGTGGTTACTGCATACTGAAGGGAGAAGTGCCAAGACTACCTGCGATACATAGACGCTGTTGTCAGCACTGCGCACGAACCTTCCCATCGGGGTTCGTGGATAGGTGCTTTTCTTGACTTGTGAAACAAGCGCAAGCGCGCCCGAAGTGGCGCGAAAGCACATGATTAGGTGAATTACTATTTCAACTCCGATATCAACCAAGTTTTTAAGTCCGATAAGAAGGTTTTTAAAAATTATACTATATCGTAGAAACTCTTGTATCACGTGGTGACCCCCACGGTCGCTTCACTATTCGACGCTACAGGGGGAGCCGCGCACTTCGTGCGCGGCGGGTCAAACAACGTATGACAAAGAAACTCTACAGTGAAACGACGCGACGATGGGGGTCACGACGTGATACTAGTGTAAAGGCTAACACTCTTTTAGAAAACAATAATACAAAATTTTTTGCTCTAACCAGAGCCCTCTCGCTTGCAGTAGCGCGCGACCGCCGAAGGCGTCACGCAGTACGCGTATACACATTATGTGAACAAAACTTTTAAAAATCCGAGAAATCGATTTTTATCGAGCAATTCCTAATTATGTTATATAATATATATTTATAGCTTGAATTAGCTGCTTTTGCGGCTACAAAACACGAAAGCCGCGCGCGCATCATTGAATAAGTCACTTACAAGACGAAACTCATCAATCAATCCAAAAAAGTGTTGCAAATTTGTTGTAGCGCGATGCGTTACTGTGCTGCGCCGCGCACTCAATAATGATTCTCCTGGCCTCGCTAGATCGGCAAGATGCGTTACCTGGGGACCCAGGCTATTATGTTCTAAATAGAGCTAGAGATTCGGCGGAATGACAGGCTGAGCGCCGCCCAGTAACGAAATGCGCTACTGTGCCTCATCGAGCTGCGATGAATTGCGACATCGTCAATTAACCAAAATCTCTTCATGCACTGTCTTTGAATGTGTTCAGCAGTATCTGTTATTAAATAATTTTACAAGAGCTGGCTCCAGAAGACCACTCCAGAAGACCACTACATAACATAAACCCTTTCTTTCCATTGTGTTACTTGTTCCTTAATATTTAACGGTCCTTGAATTTCATTCATTTCCTGTGTTATCTGAATCATGCATTATTCAGATTGCATTGATGAAACAGTTGCGTCTTTTTCCTGTTTGTTATATTATCATGGTTTCCTTAATGATCCATTTTGTGACCATGAAATAACATGCACATCATGATCAATTTACTTCATGAAAAGTCATGACAAGTTTGTTCAAAATTTATTCCAATATTGCTACTGTATAGTATAATCCTCCAAAAGAAAATTTTTTAAATCAGAAAGAATGTTTAAAACTAGTGATGATGTTTATGTCATTATTCTTAATCTAATCTAATCTAATCTATACAATCAAAATAAAATTAATAGATATTTCAGAATTATCAGTATCAGGAAAGATTGAAATAATATAAGTCATAGTTTTTAGAGTTCATTTATACTAATGTCAATCAATTTAAGTAATCGTCAATGATCTTCAATTCACGTTCTCTGTATATAAATCATCAAACAACCTTTGTCATGAAAAATCAAAACTTTGAAGATTTAATCCAAAAATATCTAAAGTTTGAGAGCCTGCATGTAAGGTCTTATATCAAGTCCGGGATACCTTGCACCAAACCATTTGATGTTATCTTCGTTCCAGTACTCATGACCAGGTTTTGGAATGCCAAGCAGTGCTCTCTGTTTTGGTGACAACTTCATGAGCACACTTTCTACCTTACCATAATAATTCCATTTTGACCAAGCAGGGTTCCAGGTTAAGTGCCAAAAACTGTCTCTCTTCTTCCATGCTATATTGATAACACTGCGTTTGTGTCCTACATTAACAGGTGTTCCTCGGTGCCAGACGTCGTATCTGTATAGCAAAACATCTCCAGGCTTATAAATTGGTATTACCTTGTAGGAAGAAGCTTTTATAAGTTTTGATATAATTAATTACACATTGTCAATTAGATCTACACCGTTACCAAAAGGTTGTTAATTCTGTCAACTTACCTCCCTGTCATAAATCTTTTTCCTGAATTGTGCAATTTGTGGGTGTTTTTCTTCAAAGTATCTTTCTGTATGACTCCGATCATTGTAAAACTCCCAGTGTCCACCGATTCCTGGCATGTTAATGTAGGGGGGTTTGTACAGTTCATCATCTTCACCTTCTCTAAAACATACTGCAGTTCCTCCGCCAGTTATCTCTAATGGGATATTAATTAACTGTGAAACAGTGTACTATATGGCATCATTATTGATCGAAAGTCTGTATGATGCTACATATAATAAGGGGTGCCCATATTTAAAGCAAAGTTTGTGTTTAATGATAAGATGTCATAAAACTGTTGGGAAAGGGAAAATGTACCAGTATCTGCAAGGTAAGCAATAGCCGCCACATTTTCAGGCTGGTTCCAAGGTGTTGGATGTAGGAAAGTGTTATTGCCATAGTCCATGTGGAACCTCTGATCATTGTTCTGCTGTGCGCCAAAATCACTGTGTCCCGCTTTACACCACCCATCACTAAAATATATAGTTATAATTATGGAAATATTATATGGCATGCTTGCTTTTGAACACATTTATTCAGTTTGTGCCAAATGCCAACAAATTTGTCAACAATTGCTCAGCCTTTCAAATATCTCAAGGCGAAAGGGAGGAACGGTTACTAATTATTAAATATGATTACTGGAATGATCATATTAGAAGATTTATTGAATACCTTTGTGCAAGGAGAATATCAGGAGTTCCCAGCAACTGTGATACAGCATCAATCAACTTTTCGTGAGTGGTGACATCATCCAGGTCATTACTAGTTGGAAATTCACATTTCCCATCCGATCCAAAATCTCTGCTGACACTGTCCTTGAATGTGTCCAGCATTATCTGTTTACATGATTCTACAAGAGCTGGCTCCAGAAGACCAGAGACGACTACATATCCCCTTTCTTGCCATTGAGTTACTTGTTCCTTACTTAACGGTCCTTGAATTTTATTCATATATCCTGGTATTTAATTCATGTGTTATTTGCGTGCTAAAGAGCTAGTATTTAAATATAAACCAATGTTTCTTTCAAATGGAGCGAATTTTACTACAATCAATAGAGGGTGAATCTTGGCAAATGAAAAAGTCCCTCAGGAAAACACAATTTTTTAGGAAATCACAATTTTTTAGGAAAACACAATTTTATTATTCATCACCAATTTAACACAAAGAGTTGAAATATGTTCAAAAACATATGAATTGCAAGCCTAACAACAACATGAACAGTTTTCAAATTTGTCCCCATTTGGTTCCAAATTTATGGATTTATTTACTGGAACTGAGACGCCGCGCTGTTAACACAATTTAGCGAAATTTAAACCGGTATATTAAATTTCATAATTGTATTACCGTATCAGGGAAGAAAAATAGCACTTAATTGTTTAATTCAATTTTTTTTCAATAATATTATGGCGGTTTTAAAAAACTGGTAATCAGCTATGGGGTTGTTCACATATTATTACGTAATCAATATTTTAGCAATTTTTTTACCCCCCCTCCCCATCCATAATTTCATAATTGTATTACCGTATCAGGGAAGAAAAATAGCACTTAATTGTTTAATTCAATTTTTTTTCAATAATATTATGGCGGTTTTAAAAAACTGGTAATCAGTTATGGGGTTGTTCACATATTATTACGTAATCAATATTTTAGCAATTTTTACCCCCCCTCCCCCATCCATAATCAACTGTTATCAGTTGACTTTTTTCCCTAGAAAACACCTTTCTCGATACGTTTCATGCTACCCTGATCATGCTATCATGATGAGCCGAAATCATTGTTATGATATCCGGCCAAGCACCTTCTAAAGTCTAAACTACTTACTATTATAGCCGGATATTCGATCAATTTCTAAATTTTATCAGAGTGAAATTGAGTGGAATTTGAATTAAAATATTGGGTAAAAATGAAAATGTTGATTACGTAATCCAAACCCCCCCACCCCCGTAATCAACTGTAAGGATTTGGAAACCCCTCCCCCTCGGCTAATTTTGCCAGGCCCCAATGCCTTGAGTGGAATTCTTCGGTTGCTGGAAATTGCATTCCTGTATAATCATACTTTGTATTATATTCTCGTATCTCCATTGTGCCTAAAGGCTCCTTGTGTAATACTGTTTCTTCAAAATGTGAAATTAATATAACAACAATATTAAGCAGAATGAGATTTCCACCACCAGCACTTCAAGCGTCAAAGATTCTGTCTAGAGGACTCCTGACATCAACCAGAAAATCCTTCCCCCCTCAAAATGCCCTACTTCACAAGTTCCTTCTTCCCTTTATGTCAGATAACGCTGAAAGAACTGCCATCGTAAGTAATTGAGTACGTGTTACAACTACTGAGACCTCGTATCTTTAGGTAGACTCATAGTACTAATTAAATTACAATTGAAAAAAGCAAGAACAGTTCTATGATTTATATGCATATTCTCCATAACCCAGTTCACTCCCTAAATCCTTATGGTGATCATTCCAGATAGACTACGAGACCAAAGCCGAGCTTACCCACGGTGAAATAGCAGAAAATGTGGGTAAAATAGCTCGCAGGATGATAGATTGGGGTGTAAAACCTGGTGATCACGTGGGACTGAGTTCGTTTAACCACTTGTACTACTTCCCCTTACAACTGGGCATCATGGCTGCTGGGGGTCGGGTGGCTCTGTGTAATCCTGGCTATACAGGTTAGAACAGTTTGTAGTGTCAACCTCTCATAGAATCCAAAACGGACAGGACAGGACATGACATAGGCGGACATTGGCGGACGTGTCACTGTCACCCCCCCCCCCCCTTCTATTGCTCGACAAGTAAATTATGTGATACACTCTCCAATTCTCTCGATTTTGCCAGGTAGAGAAGTGGACCAACTGTTCCAGACTGCTGATGTCACCAGAGCTATTGGACATCCTAAAAATGCAGATGCAATAAAAGATACTTCTAAACGACAGGGTCTTCCAGAACCCCTAGGTATTTGTAGATTTTATTTATTGCTTATAACATCACAGAAGATCTGTAGCTGAGGAATCGTACATCTGAATGAATGACCTGAGATCCCAGTTATCGTGAATTTTCTATGACATCGAAATAAAAAATCACAACCTAATTGACCACACTTCCGCAGACATATCAAACATCATCGAAGAGAGCAAGCATTACTCCTCTGAACTACCCGACGTGGAGATGGGTATACACGATACCTGTGCCCTGTTTTACAGCAGTGGAACTACTGGCTTCCCCAAAGCGGTGGAGATTACCCATGATAACTTCGTGAGCCAGTGCATGTTGCTGGATGATCCGGGGTGCTTCAACTTTAGTATTGATACTGTTAATGTGAGTAGATTGTTCCTGGTTCGGTTATTGGTGTTGATAATCTTACCTAGGGTGTATTATTATATAATACAATAATATTACGTTTCGAAAATTTTTCAATGAATGTTATACGCTGATATTAATTGCTCACACTATTTGTCTACAGGTAGGCAATGAGTTTATTATCTATAAATCAAAACACAATTTACCTGAACGAAATTATAATTTCCTAGTTTTTCCTTGTCATTTTACTTGAAAATATGTGCATGCATATTAAGGACTTTTGTTCAGAACGGATTTCTGCCCTCGTTTCACGTATTTGGAAGTGTTGTTGGTGCACATGTACTTCACAAAGGAGCAGCCTCTGTAATGCTCGATGGGTTTAATCCCCTGACCTTCCTTGGTGCTACCCAGGATTACAAGGTATTGTCTGGAGATATTGTTTAAATTATATCTAATACATATCACACAGCATGGGTTTCTCCCTTCATTCCACCTGTGGGGCAATGCTGTTTTCATGCATCTTTTAATGAAGAGCGGACTCTCCGTTCAAATGGAATCTTTTCAACCGGAAGTGTTCCTTGAAGCAACACAACACTATAAGGTTATAATAATTATCCGATATAAAGATATAATTTTATTTTTGCAGAATAAATACAGACCACAGATTCGGCTGTTTTTGCACTCATAATGAAGCTCCTCTACGCTATCAGATTCTTAACACGTGGTATTTTCAATTACTCCTGCAAACATTAACCAATGTTTCATATCACTCTGAATGACAACTACTCTCTCTCTCGCCAGGTCTCCTTCGCAACGGTAGTACCCCCAATAATGGTATTCCTTGCCAAACACCCCCTGGTGGACAACTACGAGCTGTCCAGCCTGCGGGACCTGGTCTGTGCTGCTGCGCCGCTCTCTGAACAATTGGAGAATGAAGTTAGAACCAGGTTAAACAACGATAAGCTCAACTTCCGTCAAGGTATACTTCACTTTCAGATTCATTTTCTTTGCCTTATCAGCTATGTACTCAAAGACGGATTTTAAGATCTCAACATTTTTATCACGTGGACAGTTTGGAGGTACAGACTGAGACTAAGTAAATAAAGTAACGTAAACTACTAGCTATTAAAACTTTAGGTTACGGTCTCTCGGAAACTACAGCTGTATCCCACCACGTTAATAGAGACACGGGGAAGGCTGGTTGTATAGGGGGCACTGCTAAAAACACTGTTTCCAAGGTCATTACCCAATACCCACTACCCAGACTATCATAGAATAATAATACAGACCTTGCTGGCATGGTGCTGTTCCCTTCTTTGTCTTTTAAAATATAAATTACACACATTCTTATGTGGAAATACTTGTTCAGTGTCTCATATTATATATTATTGAGTGGGCAAATAGGTACAATACCGACCGGCTATAAACCAGTACAGCTGTTAGAGGGCTATTAGAGGGCTATTAGCCGGTTAATAGCTGGTCGGCATTGTAACTATTTGCCTATTGAGTGTATCATGCAATAATAATATTTGAGTGCTTGTGATCTTCAATTCTCAATTATGTGATCAAATGCCAAACGGCAAACTGTGAGATTAGGATAGGACCCTTTGTCATATTATGGCCATATTATAATTCTTTGGGTCATAATTTTCCAGAATAGCCATAAAACGAGCGCTTCGTCCCCTTAGAAATCTAAAATGGTTTAAAACTGCATGTCAATTTCGATCCAATCTAAATTAATTATTCATAGAAAACTGATCAAGCAACACTAAGATATAACAAATAATTTGAGCCTATTATTATGCAATGAGGGCGACAAGCTTGAAGCTGGCTGGAGGTGGTTCGTAGTCCCCAGCATAGCAAACATGGGCTTCATTTGTTAGTGTTCTAGTAAGAAATCTTATAACAGTTAATACAAATCGCTGCATGGTCGATTGTTTGACGATCAATTTTGAAGTTCATGCCATGCATATTATTCAGACTCAGAAATTTCGAATCTTAATAATGCAGGGGGACTTGGGATTCAGTGGGCTGGAGATTTGGAAACTTAGGAAGAACTTTAGCCCATGGGAATCGGGAGAGGAAAAAACTTCAGGGTCTGCCGGGTTCAGGGTTGCATCCCCGAGGAAGCTATGCTTTCATAACCAATATCTGCTAAAAGATTGCTAGATTAAAAGTCTCGCATTCTGACAAGTTCGCTATTTTCTCAATAATATATTATCTCGGTTGTAACAAGATGTCACGTGCAGGTTATGGCCTAGGTGAGACAACGGCCATATCCCATTACATGACCCGAGGGCTGGATAAACCAGGATCCATTGGTGGTATTTGTAACAATTCTGAGACCCAGGTTACCGGTGTTATAATGCATGGGGTTGTCATGGCGTTGTCATGGAGCTGTCATGGGCCTGATTTTATATTACACGTGGTAAAATGGTCACAGCTCAGCAAGCCGCTGTCCCTGAAATAATGCAATGCATGATATCCTGAATTATCTGTACCAACTAGTGGGTGTAACATAAAAACCTATAATTTTTTAGCTTTTTTTGTGGCAGAATGTATCATGAAATATTATGTAGAAACCAAATGAAATGAAATTAAATGAAATCAGTCGCATAGTTGAACTGTTTTCTTGGGTAATTTTCTATCGATCCCGTTTGATGAGACAAGGAAAAGGCTCTTATCAGGACCGGAATTATTCAACGTTTCAATGTGACAACATCGTATTCATGATGAATGGAGTTATGGATATTAGTATAACCGCAGTATTTAGTAATTAGTATAACCGCAGTAGGACTAACCCCCCTACAGCTAGTATAGTGCCTCGGCACAGAGTGGCTTAGGGTTACCGAAAAGGAGATACTGATAAGCACCTCAGGCCATTCCAACTTGTATCTTGTTGTTGTATAACCGCAGTAAGTTGATAGTAGTAATTAGTAATTAGTATAATTAGTAAGTTGATATAATGAAGTAACAATACGTGCCCAGGGTACGGCCTGAGCGAGACTACAGCAGCGTCACATTACTTAACTGCTGGCACAGTTAAAGCAGGAACTATTGGTTCTATAGGCAACAATTCTCTAACCAAGGTTACCCGTGAGGCTTCCTGATCGAGAGTGGTTAAGTTCATGAAATATTACGTCTTAGAACCTCTTTTCTGGCCACACTTAATTTAAATCATAAAATAAAATCATTCTTTAAATCTTTTCTTTCAGTTTGCCGGATTATACGATTACATGAAATAAATTCATATAGATTGGAGCATCTTTTTTTGTTGAGTACTTTTATAGTGTGTTTTGTGGTAATCGACAGGGGGAGGGGGATGGTCTGAAAATCTGCGATTTTGGCGGACGTCCTAAGTAGATGGCCCCTTAAACTTTATATTTGGATGAAGTCTCTAGGATGTAAAGCTAGTCTGAATCGAAGATATTTGACTTACGACCAATTTGTTGGCTAAAAGCTATTTTATATGCCATATGGACCATACGCCATATATGGGCATTGTGTAGTTCCTCATAACACTGTAATCTCTTATAATCTAAACTCAGTGAAGGGGGTTTGTTACCCGTCAAGCCCTATCCTGTTGGTGAAGGTTGACCATTAGCCACCACTAATGCTGATGTAAGAGAGGTGTACTCCAGCAATCTTGTACATCAGGCTATGCCAAATGTTAGGTTTAGCACTAACTCAAACTTCTTTACATAGTCGAACTAAGTTATAAATCAATTTAACCGAACTGAATTATACAAATTGAGTTTAGTAATTAATATAACCGTAGTAATTAGTAATTCTAGTATAATTAGTAAGTTGATATAATGAAGTAACAATACGTGCCCAGGGTACGGCCTGAGCGAGACTACAGCAGCGTCACATTACATAACTGCTGGCACAGTTAAAGCAGGATCTATTGGTTCTATAGGCAACAATTCTCTAACCAAGGTTACCCGTGAGCTGCCTGCCAAATTACGTCTTAGAACCTCTTTTCTGGCCACACTTAATTTAAATCATAAAATAAAATCATTCTTAAAATCTTTTCTTTCAGTTTGCCGGATTATACGATTACATTAAATAAATTCATATAGATTGGAGCATCTTTTTTTGTTGAGTACTTTTATAGGATGTTTTGTGTTAATTAAGAAATAAGCTTATTTTAGCCACACTTTGACATTCGATGAAGCATAATATGGAATGAAATGAGCTTTGAAAATCATTATAAGGCCAGATATGTATCAAACGTTTCCCTATAAACCTAAAACTTTAAGCAAATGTTTTGAAAAGTACAGTTGTGTTAAATTAGGCAAATTAAGATATTGGCGGTTATTTATTGTATAGTAATTTAACCTGTCATTGCCTTGTTAGTGTATAGTAACTATCGCTGATACTTATAATATAATTTAAGGGAAATGTTCTACAATAATGCTGAATAAGTAAATAGCTGAATAACCTGTTAACCTGTATCCAGTCTAAGTAAGTTAAGTTCGTATAGTTATCCAAGTTGACATATTGTGCTCTGTGCAGGGTACGGCTTGACTGAGACAGGAGCAGCCTCACACATGCTGGTCCGTAAAGTTAAACCAGGATCTATTGGTTCATTATGCAGCAATTCTATCAGCAAGGTTATCCGTTTGCTGTCTAATGGAGAGCGGCCAAGTCCATGATTTGTTTTTAAATGAAAAACATATCTCATAGCTTCTTTTGTTTCCATGATTTATTGAAATCATAAAAATATATAGCTTAAAACAGTTTCATTGCCGAGGTCACTTGTGGCTATCGAAAAAAATAAGCTTATTTCGACCGCATTACATTTTACACTAAAAAGGAATCAATGCAAGAGTGCTGTTAAAGTGCTGTTAAATCGATTGTTAATCAATCTTTTAATCACTGTTGGTTAATCAAAAAGAGATGTTTTTATCGGAAAATCGTAGTGTTTTTATTTCTAAGTGTTATTGCTTTTCTTTAACTTTATTGTCTGTTTCATGAACATTGATTACTGAATAGCATAAAAAATTGCATGAAAAAAATGCATGACAAAATTGCTGCATTGTATATTGTACATGGCGTGGGTAATTACAGTAGACAGTACATTGTAAATATTACAATATTTTGATTTTATAAGCTAACCTCTGCCTGCTTCACAATAGTAATTACAAGGCGAGCTAACTGATTTGCTGGGTCAGGTGGTAGATCCGGAGACAGGTAGAGAGTGCGGTGTAAACGAGCCTGGAGAGATCTACATCAAGGGACCCTGCGTTATGAAGGGCTACTACAAAAATCCTAAAGCTAATGCTGGTAAAACGCTTTTACAGTTTATTTTAACAGATGTCACGTGCCATGTTGTCACTGTTACGTTCAGAATTCATCAATCATCACGTGTCATTCTGAAATGCCCTATACTCAACGACGATTCACGTTTAAAAGCTCTTCAAACAGCTATATTACCGAGTCTTAGTTGCGTGTTATTTATAATTATATTAAATGTACTAAGTTTGACATAAATTTCCCAGAAACTTTTACGGATGATGGTTTCCTAATAACTGGAGATATTGGGTACTACGACGAAGACGGCGATTTCTTTATCGTTGATAGGCTGAAAGAGCTTATTAAAGTTAAAGGCTTTCAGGTAAGTTAACTGAACGTATTTCTATCGTATTTTCATCGTATCCAAACTAAGTACTAACACTTACAAATTTATTGAGCTTATATCTACTGGCCAATTATTAATTTGTAACATGATTAACAAGAAAGAAGTATGGGACCAATACTTGTTGCAGACTCTCTATTACAAGATTTTACAAACTATGATCTTATCATTTATGTGTTTCAAGAACTCCCTCAGCTCCATACCATTTATTATCATACCAATCTGGAATCTGGGCTGTCTCCACTAGCAGCTCTATTGATTCGGTTCAGGGAAATTTTACATTTCTTGTTGAATCATTAGCCGACAGAAAATGTCCGGAAATGTGAGAGGCTACTTTATTTGTCATTAAACTCGTCGGGCCAGTGCCTACATTACACACTGATAGTGTTAATGTAATTATTCAAACTATGCTATGATAACATCCCATGAGAGCTTACGAACGAGGAATATTTCCAGGCGAGTGTATGGAGTAGAATGTTCAGTGGTCACTACATATTATCCATAATATTTATGTGTGCCGTTCAGTAACAGTTCACACAAGAATTAAAATAACTTGAAATTCTAATCTGCTCAACTGGATTTACTTGAATGCTAAGCCTCCCCATCCTTTTAAAATGATATACCACTGTATTATATTCACACAAAACAGGTATTTACTTCTGCCCCCTCATTTTAACAACCCCTCACCAACAGGTATTTACTTCTGCCCCCTCATTTTAACAACCCCTCACCCACACAGGTCGCACCGGCTGAACTAGAAGCACTTCTCCTAGAGCATCCCCTGATCGCTGATGCTGCAGTGATAGGCATACCCGACGAAAGAGCCGGAGAGAGACCTAAAGCTTTTGTAGTGAAACAACCGGGGGCTGATCTGGGGGAGGAAGGGGTGAAGAGTTTTATTGGGGAACACGCCTCGGATTACAAGATACCTGCCGAGGTTGGGAATACTTGATCAGCTGGTTTTAGTTTTCTGGTTTTATAAAATATGCCGTGGAGTAAAACGTGCTTATTGACCTTGGAAATTGTTATACTTATCATGATACCCATAATGAAATAATAGACGAAGTTACCTAAAATCAGGATTATATTACATGTTACCTAAAATCAGCATTATAAATCAAGAGGCTTGCATATAATGAACATATTGACATGGGTGCAGAGTTGAGTCTGTACGGAACCTAGTAGTTATATCATATTATGGAACAAGGCAATTTTAATTCACAAGGAAAACAAATCTTATAAGAAGATAAAAAACAGTTTAAAAACGAAAAGTTTTACTTACAAAAAATCTGGAAGCAAATGTTTACCGGAAATAAAATTTCGCAAAGTCACGCACTTCACCGTGTCGTTATCAGTTATCAGGCATCTTGAGATTCTACAGTTGTCTAATATTAGGCGGCATGAACAGATTGAACATGGGAAAAACGCGGAAATTTATAAAATTATGGAATGCATAATTACATTTGCAAAAAATGCAATGGGTCGAGACACTTAATGAACCGCAGGAAACGTACCGTAACAGTATATCGAGTTGGGGACCCCTACTCGCGGTGTCCTTAATCAGATTACACAACTTTTTATTATCAGCTGGTGTAGGTTTCCAGATTATTGCATATTTTAATTTGGTGTCTACAAGGAACGTTGGACGTGCAACTGATTTGAATTAGAATTACATTGTTTTAACATTCAAATTTAGATACATATAGATCTCAAAATCATGTTAGATATTAATCCACAATCCACATAATATTTCAGTCTTGAATGATTGGTTTTAGTTTAAAATGGGTTTGGTAAAGCTGTAGTTTAAAAACTCAAATTTCCCAAGGTGGAGTTTATTGACATGATCCCGAAGCTACCAAGCGGTAAAATACAGAGGAAAGTGTTGCGTGCAAGTGAACAAGCGAAACGGGACGCAAAGCAATAATATGGAACTTTCACAATTAAGATTTCTTTATCCCAAATCTATCGGGATATTAAGATGGACTAATGTTATGAAACTAAATTATTGTTCAATTTTAAAAATATTTTCTGGAATGTGCATGTATGGGGTATCCTTTCATTCAATTTAATGAGCAAGATAAAGGTAAGTAAGAGATCTATAATTCCTTACTTGAAAGCTTTATAACCTAAAACTAATTTTACGATGCCTTGTAAGGAAATGTTAAGTTTTTCAGATGGCGTGACAGTAATCACTCTCCGGGGCCATATAAACAAATTGCTTAACCCATCATCCTTACCTTATATAACATGGCACCGACTAAAGTTTTAAAATGTACACTTCAGTTTTAAATCAGACGTTTTTATTGCATTACTAGTGTAACCCGTGCCTTCGGCCGGGACATTACTGTCACAGTTGCAATGTAAAAGTATACAACCGCATTATATATTTGATATCACGCATAACGCTGTCTTATGAAAGTATGAAATCTCCCTGCAGTTGAAACAAAGCGGCCGCAAGAGTGAGCTCTAAGCTTATAGTATTACGTGGGGCTAAACTAATTACGGTACATGTTATCCTCCTCGTTCTCTCTCCCATCCATTTATGTCACATTTCTGGAACAAAATCATCAATTAAACCACTTACCACCGGCCGATTTTTATAAAATTTGCTTATGGGCTTCGTCAGAGTTTTGTCAGCACTATACCGAAAAAACCAGTCCCGTAACTATTACCGTTTTTTTTGTATAACCGTTCGGAAATTACACACAGACACACAGACACACAGACACACAGACACACACACATTCTGGTGTTATTAAGTTGATAACATGGTTTTTACATAAGGATTTTATTAATTTGGCTTCATTAATGTAATGTATTTTAGTGTGTTTAACCTTTTAAACATATGACTCAAATTCCGGAATTGATAGACACTGACTAATAAAGTTTGCGTTAATCTTAATCTAATTTAATCATGACTAATTATATTTTACGACGTTAGTATTTAACGAGTTAAATAGAGTGAATATCAAATATGTCATTCAAAATGAAAAAAATCTGATTTTTTTAATAACCCGTGGATTTGAGCCAAGGAGTTGATGTTGTCAATTAATAATCATGTGTTGTATAGAGAATGAAGAATGTTTTTCTGTCTTGAAATGTGTATCGTTAGCTCTAACTCAAGAATCCGGTGTTATGGCTTATCTCTTGAATAAACTTCATCATAAATGTAAAGTAGACAACGTGTTGAACCTTGTAAGATATGGTCCCAATAAATAAACATAATAAATGTTATCAGCATGTTTATACGGTACGGGAGTTGCAATTGTGATTAACGTATCTAGGGCGTGAGTAACTTTAACAGAAACTGAAATTGAAACAGAAACAGAAACAGAAACAGAAACTAAAAGCGAACATATGTTTTCGAGCAAGGCCAACTTTTCTTGTGGTAAGTTTCACGATATATAACATTACTAACCCTATTAATTAATTGCCAATGTAGTGTGGTTGAATGTACAATGTACATACATTTGCTCCAGTTGACATAGTTATCTGATAGAAAATACTTCTTTCCCCGTTTATTTATATCACTTACCCTACTAATTGAAATTTAGTAAGACCTTGATGTAAAACCCCAAAAAATGTCATATTATCAATTAAAATTATTCCACATTAAAAGATCATATTATTAAGATCTCTGTACAAGAAATAAAAGCCACCTCCATCTAAACCACTACAACTGTGGCAGGTATACCAGGATGCAGCTACAAGTTCAAATCAGGGGTAGACCACATTGAGCACCTGACTGCCCACCACGGCTTCTCCTCCTCCCCCTTACCTCTCCTCCCCTCTACCTCTCCTGCTCGGCCTGCTCCTTCAACTCCTTCTGCTCCTTCCGCTCCTCCTGCTGAAGCTAGCTCTAGCTGTCCTACTGTTATTTTCCAGGTGGGTGGCGATTATAAGTAAGATGTCGTATTATAGAACTATTGAGGAGTCCTAACTCTCCTCACGTCCGTAAATGGAGTTTTCTTTGTATCATATTATATGGTATATCAAATGATGGAGTAGTTCGCTGTTTATTATTCTCATGTGTATGATCAGTATTATATGGTATAGTCGGAGTCGGGGAATGTTGAATACACCAGTTTATTTTTCTAAAATAAGATCGTTTTGATGGCATGGCGCCAAGTCGTACTGTTTGGGTTTACGTTAAAAGTGTACAGAATTAATTAGATCTTGTGTTAATTTTTAAAAAGGTTAATCTTATTTGCCGAAAAATCGAACGTTATGGAAAATCAAAAAGATCCACAGCATGAGTCTCAGTTGAATAATATCGATGAATTGAAGTTTAAGTTTAGGGGAGCATGTTTTAGTGCTTTTGCTTTATCGAAAGTGCTGAAATTTCAAAAAAACGTTTAAAAGTTTCAATGAACCTGGTTAATTCTCCCCGTAAAAACCGCTTTCAATCGTTCTATTAGATCTCTAAGGGAACCAATTACCAAAGTACAAACAGTTACCATGACGCTAACAGTTACCATAGTACTAACAAATGGCCAGGGGGCCTAGGCGTGCTGCCACAAGACCTGAATCTAACTGATCTTTGGTTAATCATGTTAATAACTCCTGGCGATTTTTAAATCGAAAAATTTAATATCTGAACTTTGCTCTTTCTTTGGCTATGTGCGTTTTAACTTTTAGTAAATTTTTTTAGTCATATTTTATTCAATATCTCTGTCGCATACAAGCGGGGTAGTAAGTACTGTGTTTCCTTTCCTTTCCTTCCTAACCATTTTCCAGCTTATTTGGTTTATCCCAGTTTTTGATGCTTACAAATCTGTTACAAAGTTATTTTAAAGTTTGTGAAGTGATGGGCTGTGGTACCAGCAAAGGAGAAATTTTTGCGACAATGGATCCTCCAGCAACGAGTTGTCACTGTAAGCAAAAGAGAGTGAGATTACTCGCGATAATATATTGTGTTTAAAGTCGGTCTGTTCAGTTATTTGCCTCCATAAAATAGCCGCAACAAATCTAATATTATTGTGATCGAGTTCTGATTATTTATTTTGAAGTAATTTGTTATTTCTTGCTCCCTGACGTCCACTAGGACCAATACACAGATAACGCTGATCAGATGGAATTGTTTTTATATGCTGAAGCTAGCTCTAGCTGTCCTACTATTATTTTCCAGGTGGGTAGCGATCATAGACATAAGTAAGATGTCGTATTATAGTTATTGAGGAGTCCACAGATAACGCTGATCAGATGGAATTGTTTTTATTATATGCAGTTGTTAAAAGAATGTCTTAAGTCTGATGATAGTACCCAAATGTAAGGTTTTTTTTTTACATATTTGATAGATTTACAGATCTGGCTTGACAAAAATTTTCAGAAAAAATCATGTTCGCAGGAAGCAAAAATCCGATGAGTTTTTTAGGGGGGAGGGGTAGGGGGTTGAGGGGGGTTGGGAAGGGTTGTCACATGACGAGAAATTTTTCGCAAAAATTAAACAATCTTTATTTGTTGATATTATTCACCCCTGTTGCCTAGAGTGGTGGGTCTGCACTTGAGAAGAGTGGGTCTGGTCGCTAGAATGGTGGGTCTGCAATCTAGAAGTGGGTCTGGCAACCAGAATGATGGGTCTGTACCCTTAAAGAGTGGTCTGACGACCAGAGTGGTGGGTGTGCACTTGAGAAGAGTGGGTCTGGCAGCTAGAATGGTGGGTATGCAATCTAGAAGTGGGTCTGTTAACCAGAATTGTGTGTCTACACCCTTGAAGAGTGGGTCTGACAACCAGAATGGTGGGTCTGCACTTGAGAAGAGTGGTTCTTGCGGCTGGAATGGTGGGTCTGCAATCTAGAAGTTGGTCTAGCAACCAGAATTGTGGATCTGCATTCGAGAATAATGAGTCTTCACTCTAGAAGAGTGGGTCTGACAACCAGAATGGTGGGTCTGCACTTGAGAAGAGTGGGTCTGGCGGCTGGAATGGTGGGTCTGCAATCTAGAAGTTGGTCTAGCAACAGAATTGTGGATCTGCATTCGAGAATAATGAGTCTTCACTCTAGAAGAGTGGGTCCGGCAACCAGAGTGGTGGGTCTGCACTTGAGAAGCGTGGGTCTGGCCGCTAAATGGTGAGTCTGCACCCTTTAAGAGTGGGTCTGACAACCAGAATGGTGGGTCTGGACTTGAGAAGAGTGGGTCTGGCAGCTGGAATGGTGGGTCTGCAATCTATAAGTGGTCTGGCAACCAGAATGGTGGGTGTACGTACACCCTTGAAGAGTGGGTCTGACAACCCGAGTGGTGGGTCTGAACTTGAGAAGAGTGGGTCTGGCAGCTGGAATGGTGGGTCTGCAATCTAGAAGTGGGTCCGGCAACCAGAATGGTGGGTGTACGTACACCCTTGAAGAGTGGGTCTGACAACCAGAGTGGTGGGTCTGCACCCTTGAAGAGTGGGTCTGACAACCAGTGTGGTGGGTCTGCACTTGAGAAGAGTGGGTCTGGCAGCTAGAATGTTGGGTCTGCAATCTAGAAGTGGGTCTGGCAGTTAGAATGGTGGGTCTGCAATCTAGACGTGGGTCTGGCAACATGAATGGTGGGTCTGCACCCTTCAGGCTTAAAGAGTGGGTCTGACAACCAGAGTGGTAGATCTGCACTTGAGAAGTGTGGGTCTGGCAGCTGGAATGGTGGGTCTGCAATCTAGAAGTTGGTCTGGCAACCAGAATGGTGGGTCTGCACCCTTCAGGCTTCAAGATCAAGAGTGGGTCTGACAACCAGAGTGGTGGGTCTGCACTTGAGAAGAGTGGGTCTGGCAGCTAGAATGTTGGGTCTGCAATCTATAAGTGGGTCTGGCAACCAGAACGGTCGGTCTGCAGTCTGCACCCTTAAAGAGTGGGTCTGACAACCAGAGTGGTAGATATGCACTTGAGAAGAGTGGGTCTGGCAGCTGGAATGGTGGGTCTGCAATCTAGAAGTTGGTCTGGCAACCAGAATGGTGGGTGTACGTACACCCTTGAAGAGTGGGTCTGACAACCCGAGTGGTGGGTCTGGACTTGAGAAGAGTGGGTCTGGCAGCTGGAATGGTGGGTCTGCAATCTAGAAGTTGGTCTGGCAACCAGAATGGTGGGTTTACGTACACCCTTGAAGAATGGGTCTGACAACCAGAGTAGTGGGTCTGGACTTGAGAAGAGAGGGTCTGGCAGCTGGAATGGTGGGTCTGCAATCTAGAAGTTGGTCTGGCAACCAGAATGGTGGGTGTACGTACACCCTTGAAGAGTGAGTCTGACAACCCGAATGGTGGGTCTTCACTCTAGAATAATAGGTCTGGTGGGTCTACACTTTAGAAGAGTGGGTCTGGCAACTAGATTGGTGTGTCTGCAATCTATAAGAGTGGGTCTGGCAACCAGAATAGTGGGTCTGCAATCAAGGGAATCAAGATGAGTGAGTCTGGCAATCAGAATGGTGGGGCTGCACCTTAGGGTAGTGGGTCTGGAAACAAGAATGGTGGGTCAGAATTCTTGAATTGTGGGTCTTCACTCTAGCTAAGAGTGGGTCTGGCAACAAGAATGGTGGGTAAGAATTCTAGAATAGTGGTTCTTCACTCTAGAAGAGTGGGTCTGGCAACCAGAATGGTAAGTCTACACTCTGTCAAGTGTCAACCAGAATTGGGGGTCTAAACTAGAATATAGGATATATGGCAACCAGAATTGTGCGTCTGGAGTCTAGAGTCTAGAATAGTGGGTCCGGCAACCCGAAAGGTGGGTGTTCACTCAAGAATAGTGGGTCTGGCAATCGGAATGGTGCGTCTACACTCTAGAAGAGTGGGGCTGGCAACCAGAATGGTAGGTCTTCGCCTTAGAAGAGTGGGTCTGGCAACCAGAATGGTGGGTCTGCATTTTAGAATAGTGGGTCTTGACTCTGTACCTACTAGAAGAGTGGGTCTCCTCTCTAGAAGAGTGAATCTGGCAACCAGAATGGTAATTCTTCACTCTGTCAACCAGAATTGGGGGTCTATGAACTAGAATATAGGAGATATGACAACCAGAATTGTGGGTCTGGACTCTAGAATAGTGGGTCTGGCAACCAAAATGTTGAGTCTGCACTCTAATAGAGTGGGTCTGGCAACTAGAATGCAGACACGTAGCCAAGGGGAAGACCCCCGGAAAAAAATTGAACCCCAAAAAAAATAAGCCCCCTAGTCCCCATGGTCGCCTGGTAAGTGGGCTGTGTTTATGACTGTTTGATTAAACGACACGACAGGCAATCGACTTTAGCATTTCGTAAATTATTCCCAAATCCCACTATACAATATGTACTTATTCCATTCAATGTGACAAGTACTGAGTTCCCCCCTAGCCCCCAACTTTGTATTATTGTGATGTCTGAAATTACAAATTTCTAATGCCAAATGTCGTCTGAAACACCCTATTTCTCAAAAATTTTCCGGGTGCTGCACCCCCAACTTTGTATTATCGCCGTCCTACAAATTTCTTTAATGCCTAATGTCGTCTAAAACAAATAATTTCTAAAAATTTTCTTGGGGGCTGCGCCCCCCCCCCCCCCAGTCCCCCAACTTTATATTATTGTGATGTCTGATTATTACTGCGCCCCCACAGCCCACTAATCTTGTATTATTGTAATGTCTGATTATTGCTGTCTCACAAATGTCGTCTGGAACACCCTATTTCTCAAAAATTTTCCGGGTGCTGCACCCCCAACTTTGTATTATCGCCGTCCTACAAATTTCTTTAATGCCTAATGTCGTCTAAAACAAATAATTTTTTAAAAATTTTCTTGGGGGCTGCGCCCCCCCCCCCCCAGTCCCCCAACTTTATATTATTGTGATGTCTGATTATTACTGCGCCCCCCAGCCCACCAACCTTGTATTATTGTAATGTCTGATTATTGCTGTCCCACAAATGTCGTCTGGAACACCCTATTTCTCAACAATTTTCCGAAGGCCAGGGCTGCGCCTGCCTAGCCCTCCAACTTTGTATTATTGTGATGTCTGATTATAATTACTGTCCTACAAATTTCTTTAATGTCAAATGTCGTCTAAAACACATAATTTCTCAAAAATTTTCTGATTGGCTGCGCCCCCCCCCCCCTCCCTAGCCAACCAACTTTATATTATTGTGATGTCTCAGGATTATTACTGCCCTACTAATTTCTTTAATGCCAAATGTCGTCTAAAACACATTATTTCTCAAAAATTTTCTGGGGGGCTGCGCCCCCCCCCCCCCGGCCCCCCAACTTTATATTATTGTGATGTCTGATTATTACTATCCCCAAATTTCTTTAATGCCAAATGCCGTTTTAATCACCCTATTTCTCAAAAATTTTCCTGGGGGTTCGCTCCCCTAGCCCACCAACTTTATATTATTCTGATGTATGATTATTGCTCTCCTACAAATTTCTTTAATGCCAAATGTCGTCTAAAACACATAATTTCTCAAAAATTTTCTGGGGGGCTGCGCCTTCCCCCCTCCCTAGCCAACCAAAGGAGCTTCGCCCCGGCTACGTGTCGTGTCGGGCTACGTGCCGAGAATCGAAAAAACTTAATCTTTAAATGAATAACGGAACCTTCATTATGAAGTTACGAGATGATAATATAATTGGGAGGCAAAGTGGGTATCGGGCTTGGGGCTCATAATGCGCAAAATTTGGCCGCTGTCGAGTGGGTCTGCCTAAAATTCACAGATCTAGCTATGGGTCTGAGACATTTGTAAAAAAAAAACCTTACCCAAATGATAGCAAAAAAAATAAATCGACTAAATTGAGCCAATGAATGTATAGTTACAACTGTCTCTGCGGATATTGTGCCATATACATGTTGTTGGTTTAATGATTCTTTGTGCTGCAGGTTGTAGTCTATTGCTTTTATACTAGTTTCTGACAACTTTAACGAACTAAACTTGAAGATTATATATATATCATGTCAAACAATTTTCATTGTTGAAAGTTGTTTTTCTCGTTGACTGTTCAAAAACAGAACTTGGTTTAGCCACAAAAATAAATCGATGGGAAGACGAAAATCGCAAGTGCGATTTAATCCTTATTCAAAACAGCGATGCAAAAAGGCAATATACTATATAACAATATTTTTATTAAAATCATTTCGTTGAATCGCTTTGTAAGCCGTTACGTTACAAGTTGTCCTGACATTAACCCGACCCCATCTTCAGGACCCTACCTTAGAACACGACATTTACATCAGCTACTGTCCTGACAACTGCAGTGGAGGCAGTGCCTTTACCAGCCGTTATCATGATCCCAACCAGATAGCGGCAGTTCTCTCCAAGACTTTTAAACCCTGGGTAGCTAGTGTGTGTCTCGGACCTTCTCACTCTGGAGACTTTTACGAGGACAGAGCTTTACATCTCAAGAAAGTCAAGGTTTGATTTTTGAAGTTTCAACGGTTTAACAGTTATACTTATAATTTAAAAAATGAATTTTACTGTTTATTAATAAGTTTGATACAATTTGGAAACACATTTTCAAACGAGAGTAATTTACAGATTTTTACAGATTTTTTTGGAATTGTAACACAAAATATCGACAGTCTTCGGATTTTTCTATCAAATCACAACAAAGAAATTAATCAATACCCTCAAAACGTATTATAAATGCTAGAATTTAATAAAAATTCTATCGTTATTTTGTGAATTATGAAAGTCGAAACTAGTTAGGTGATTTTGAAACATATCCAGGTTTTTGTGGCACTGATATCACCGGAGTACTCGAACAGCGATCAGTGTAAGATGGAATACCAGTTTGCGCTTCTGTCCCTCAAGAAACCTGTCTTACCTGTGATTATAGGACCCGGCAAAATTAACGATACTATAGGTAAGATTCAGGCAGTTGCAACATAAGCACATAATATATTGTGATTTAAAAGTGCATTTTTAATTATCTGGGACAATTTTTGTTTTTGCTGATTTAATGTTCAAGCAAATAAAGAACATTAAGTGAAAAGTCGATAAAATGACAACACTACAATAACAAATCTTGAATTATTAACTCTGTAATAAATTCTAAATTTACTGTAATACATCTTGAAAACATTTAATTCTTTGTTTGTGGTAAATCGGGGTTTTTCCCCAAACTCAGCGTAAATCGGGGTTTTACTGTAGTTTCTAATTACAAGAGGTGAAGGATCCTAAAAGGCCAGCCTAAAACTTCACTTCACAAGTGTACAGGAATACTCATTAGTTGTTATTCTACACTTAATTAAGGCTGCCCGTTCAATTGCCTGAGTCAACCTGACCAGATTCAAACGAGGGTTGACTCACTTTCATTATAATGTTATATCTTGTATTATTATACAAACCAGCCCTTACTGAACATTCACGACGCTCACTGGCAATGTAGCGTTGAGATTAGAGCCCACTACCTCTTCGGTAGTGCTACTACCACTACCTCTCGGTTGAGAAGTAGTTTTATCAGAAGGCTGACTGCTCTATCAACCTTTATTTAACTTGAACTCGGAAGGATGCAATTGTTTAATTACGCTCTATGGTCCATCAGTTGTTAGTTCAACGTCTCAATCTCATTTTAATCAAGTCAGCTGGATAGTGAAAATATCATTGCTGTCTTTTATTTAAATAAAATTGTACGTGATAAAGAAATCGTCGAGGTGTGGCTCGGATCCATTGTGAAGTGCTGTTTTCGTCAGGAATTTAGGGCGTGTGGGTATTGTCTTAATTATTCGTATGACGATAGTCGGATTGCGGCGATTCAACTGACAAATATGATGGCATTTAAGGATACATTCTTTCATACATTGTAAGAAGTCTGTCACTAAAAACATTTTATATATGGTTTTAATGCTGAAATCTATAGGATATGTTTAATTCAATAAGCCAAAGAAATTGATAACAAAGCTAAGCTAAAAAGAACAATAATTTTTGCATCTAGACAACTTATCAGATTACGGGACAAACAAAGGTTCAAGATGCAGCACTGCAGATTTTAAATTTTCAATCCAAGAACAGATTGATATTACAAAATTCCAGAATAAATTAATAAGAAACAATCGCAGCGTACCTACCAATCTTAAAATTCAATAAAGTGTATCCACTGTACAAAATATAGTACGTGAAAACTGTCAAATAAGGTCTCTGAATTTGTTGACAGATACTAATGTAGTGGCAATCTCTCCTACTGATAGTGATCTTTTGCGGTCTGCTAGTTTATCTCGTATTTCCTGTCTCCTCGTAATAGAGAATCGTCGATCGAGATCGTCGAATGACAAAAATTTAGGGAGTTCCCTCTTTGGAGCAACCTTCTTTTCTGGATTTTCTGTGACAGCAGCTGCCGGTGTAGCAGCTTGAGCTACTGTTCCTCCATTCAGTCTCTGAAATAATTAAATTGATTAATAACTAATAAGTGTTCCAGTGGCTAGATAAGATTAATTCGTGAATTTTAGAAATTGGAATTATGGTTTTCTCGGGACTTTTTTACAGTTTCGAAGAGTATAATTATTATGATAATAACATGCTGATATGAGTGTTTGAAATCTAATTCGTTTGTTCTCTCACTAAAATTCTGAAACGTCAGAACACGATTTATGCTCCAGACGTGACTGGAGCACTACTTTTACTTAGCATGACGTTATAATCTAATTGGAAGGCAGACTTACTTAAAAGAAATACGACTTATTGTTTTATAATTATTTACACACCTGGACTTGGTCTCAAGTCGCGGTGTCATAAAATCGGAAGTTCCAATGGTGACATGGTATAATTTGTTAAACCTTTACAACAGCTTAGTAACACTGGAGCCAGCTGACGTAACTGTTAATTTCCTCACGAGACTCAAATATGCAGTTTGAATTCTTACCATACTCTTTATTGTCTGGCACAATCTATATTCAACAGTTGAATGAGCGTGACTGAGAGAAATTTGATGGGAATGTTCAGTCTCATGTACTGACGTACTGCGAGATTCTAAAACACGATTTTACCCAGGCTCTGCTATTGCCTACGTCATTCCATATTTGTCAAATATACAAAGATTTGAATAAATAACTTACCGGGCATGCAGCAGTTGATTTTCCTTCTCTCATCTTGTCAAACTCCTCCTTCATAGCTGGTAGCAGACCGTATCTAAAAGCTTTATCCAACAAATTATAAGTAGTCATAACGTCAGGATACTGTCTCCCTGCCCATACGAGGTAAAATTTGAATTCGGACCAATCTATCATTCCATCTCCATCCATATCAAGAACTCTCAAGCCCATCTGGATTTCTCTGCCTCTAGCACAACTGATGAAACTGGACATGAACCCAAAATAAAAGTTATCATAAGTCAGCTTATCGTCGATGTCATCATCTCTGCCATCCCAAATGTCCCATTTAACTTTAATTTCTTCAATTAGCTTATCAATATGTTTTGCATTTTTCAGACCTTTGTCAACTATTGCCGCAATTGCCGGTGTCATTTTGCCACCCGATAGATTAAACAGAATTGCTAATCCCACTGAACTATTGTACTCTTCTTTCCTTCCTTCCTTTGCATTTTCTAATATTTTCTTCCTCATACGTTCCCCTATTTCACTTGTAAACTGAGGCTCGTCTCCAAACAGTTCTCTAAGCTTTGTAATAATCATGTCTCCAGATGCCATGGGGGTCACTCGAATTGTTCTCTTCAGTCCAAGAAATTCAGCCATTTCGAAGCCGTTGCAAACAGTAGGGTCGTTGTCCATTGCGCCAAATATGCTGCCAAAAAGCATGTCGAGAGCTCGATCTCCATAAATTGGCTGCTTGGCATCCGGTGGTGCACCAGTTGTTATCTCTGTTACCTTGATAGCAGCATCTCTTAAATACTTGCAATTGTATTGTTTTTGAACTGCTGTGTTACCTAGACGGATCATGTTCAGTATGGTAGTGCAGGAATCCGCATGCCCCAGTGCTGCTCCCTCTATGCAAACCGCGCACCATATCCCTGTTGCTCCAGCTGCTAAAACTGCTAAGTTTGTTGCATGCATGAGACCCCACTGCTCATGCACGTGGAATATAAACTGTCCGTCTGCCCACCCATTTCTTTCCATTTCAGTTCTCACTGCTCTTGTCCAAGCAGCTAGATGTTCCATCAGGTTTCTGCCCATGTCTTCATACGCGATTCCTGTAATCCTTTCGTGGGCGGGTAATTTGCACAGAAAGTTAACAAGATGCCACATTCGCTCTGGATGATTATACATTGTGAGTCCAAAGTCTCGCACATTTATGAATATCATAGCATTCTCCGATAAATTGCTCCGAACCCAATCAATTTTCTTCTTCATGTAGTTGCAAAGTTTCTTCATATTGAAACGTTCATAGTCTATTCTAAAGTCTGATAAGTCGCACTCGAGAAAGACATTTTGTAAACCAAATTTCTTACATTTTATAAGACCAATTGATAGATCAGGCTCGGGAACTTGTTTACTTGATATCTTATCCCACGCGTCACAAAATGTAAAAGCTCCTGATAGATCCTGTCCTTCATCAATCATTTCCTGAAGAAACACCTCTCCGATACGTTGGTCAGCCGTGAACGATTCTATAAAGTAGTATTTAAACCCACACTTTTTGATTTCTTCGTATATGTCACGTTTATTCTGCACAGTATGGGAGACTATGGATGCGACTGTTGTTTCTCTTAAAGAGTTGTCCAAAACAAACAGCTCCATGTCTTTAAGTCTATCCAGCCTGCTTTGGTAATTAGCTAATTGCGCCTTGACATCATAGGTAAACAGTTCTTTTCCAGTACTTTTAATCTTAGTCTTTTTCTTGAAGGACTTCTTTAGCTTGCTTAACCGGGAAATCATATTCGATAGCTTAAATCTGAAATAACACCGCTAGTCTTTGATCGTGAAAAAATGTAAAATAAGCAAGAGCTACTGTAATTACGATTCGCATTATCAAGCACGTGTTATTCTGGCACAAAACATTGCCAAGAAGTATTATGGATGTCGAAGGGTTACATCGCCATGCAAATAAAATGAAATTAAACAACTCAATTTAAGTTTTCATTTTAAGTAGTGTTTAGTAATAGTAGGGGCATCACGGCTCTCGACAGACAAAGTGAAACAAAGCAAATGATTGGTGAAAACCAAATGAAAATAATCGACGTTCGGGCAGTCGGCACTCATTCACATTTTACTAAGATTAATGAATTATGAATAACAAGGGTCTCACTTAATAAGGCGAGCCAAATTATAGGAACTATAAATAATAACTATAACAAGCTTGCTATTAACATCATCAGCATGTAAAGTGGTCTACGTTTTTGGACACACGATGTTTGGTTATGCGACCCGCTAATTAATGAACAATCGGAGGAAGAAAACAAAAACTGACGAATTCTGCGGTAATCTTGCATAAAAGGGCGAGGTTTGATGCCTATAGAAACGATAACAAATATAGAAAGAATCTTGATTGATCAAATTAGTGCACACAAAAAATGAAGGCACCACATAAAACTGAGCCGTATATCTAATCCGAGCTTTTCATTTAGAATAGAACGAACTTCCTTCATACTCTACATATTATATTGAGTTGTAAGAATAGCTTGATTAAAATACCATAACACTGTTTGCGTCTTTTATTTCAAACTGAGAGATGTTCGAACAAAGAAGGATATTTTGTCCATCTTTTGTTTATTGGTGTATTGTTCGGTTACGCCATTTTTTAGTCACATAGTCCATTCTTCCAACGATCGTAAGACAATTATACCCGGTGCAGACTAAGTTGACACAAAAGGTTGATCTAGAGAAAGACCGGATCTGATCGGAGAAGCTACAATCAGATGGCTTATCTGGAGTTATTATTCGGTTTTACGTATCGCGATACTTAGTGTCAAGTGCACATTGTTTTTTTATTTCTTAAATATTTTGCTTCAAATTAAATATTATGTGCTGGGCGTGGGCGGAAATTTTCACATTCCTGATATTTTATATTTTCAGAATCATATATTGAGCAAGACGGCCGGATACCCTTTAAAATGGACAGTCCCGTAAGAAATGAAGCAGAGTTTAATGAGCGGATGGAATATTTAGCAGATGCTATAAAGAAGATGATAAGTTCAGTTAATACTGATAGAGAAACTCAGCGGCTCCATCATCTTAATATAACGGAGGAACCCAGAGGTTAGTTTCTCAGATTATTCTTTTCCATTCAATAGCGCAATAGCTTTAAATTTGTACGTTTATGAGTAGGGGTCCGGACTCTACGGCGGCACCGTACAAAACAGGACTCTACGGCGTGGAGACGTGAAAAAACAGGATTCACGGCGGTCACAAACCAATTTTCGATAAAAATAGAACTAATTTCATATTTAACTAGGGTGCCCGACGCCCTTGGTCACGGGGAATGTTCTTTGAAAGTCAGTTTTTACCACATGTCAAGAAACACCCATTCCGACCTAAGATACAGAGAGGAGAAATGTAACACTGACATGATAATATCATGAACGGTTGCAGTTCAAATCACTTTTATAATATAACATTTCAAACAGTTTTCTTCACTTCTTTTTCATTTTCATTTAATTTTTATAAAATCAAATAGCAATAAAATTCTATTGTTCTGCTATGAAATATTGTGACAAACTGGACATGGAAGTAAGTCTATCCTTACATCTTGACTATAAGATAGAGCAGGTTTGTAATTAATATTGCGAGGTCCAATTGAGCGACTCTGGTATTAGACTCCAGCACTGATTTATCACCTGAAATAAATGTTCGTAAATATCTTGATAGCTTATAAGCTTACCACTTATCATTATACAGTTTGTTCTAGATTTTTGTTGTAAATTATAAAGGGATCTTTTCGCGACAGCAAATTGTACTGCACATCAGACACGATTATAAAAGTTTCCCAAATTCGAAGTCCTGCACACACCAAAGGTTACTACAGACAGTCGTTCGAGTTTAAAATACAATTGCTAATTAATTTTGTCTTCTGTTTGTTACTTAACAATTCTCAGTCTGTTTACTTCCCTGTATACTTGAACCCATTACCTCCTAGGATCTACTAACGAGGGAACCTAAAGTAAGAATAAAATTTTAAGGAAAATTTCATTTAGAAAGAAACTTAAAGTAAGAATAAAAGTTGAAGGAAAATTTCATTTAGAAAGAAACTTCATGCCTACAACCTAAACATCTAGTTCCAATCTCTGCTGACCAGTGACCAGTGACTAATTGCAGTGATGCACGTAAGTCGTAGTACTTACTAAAAACCTCTGTAAGCACAATTGGTTGGACTAACGATACATCTGATACACAGCCAAAACTTATAACAAACCACGCTCTGCAAGCGTCTAAACTCCTGAACTTACCCTGTCTGGGTAAAGTGGGTATCGGCATCTGGGAATCGGTAAACATGCGGTCTGCATAACAACCTATTTGTGTTATATTTGTGTTACGGTATTGGATAATTCAGTGTAATTAATTCTCCATATGATTACAAATTATTGTTTTTTTTTTAATGTGGCATCTCGTTTCGCCCCTAAAAGGTTTAAATAAATGCTCAGCATTAAAATTATTTGATTTAAATCAATAACTTAGTGGTATCTACTTTTTACCAAAAACTCAAAAAGTCCGTCAGGAGGTCAGGGAACATCGGATCATTGTTTTGATACTTGACATGAAATTTAAATTCACGGAATTCTGGCGCAGTTTTTGATGCACCCAAACGTTTGCTCAGCCAACCGCAACCGTAATAAAATGACCTCATAATATATTACAGAGGTAATTCATTTAATGTAGTTTGAGGAGTCCTCACGTCCGAAAATGGCGTTTCTCTTGTCGCTAATATGACGTGATCTTATACACGAGAAATTTCATCTATTACATCTTACAATGGCATGGAAAAATAAATATTACCTAACAATGGGAGAACTTTTCGGCAGTAAACAGTGGGATCTGCGGCACTTCCAGTCCAGATGATTTGTCGGTTAGTTGACATTGAGCTCCATGGTCCTGTGTGGGTGTAGTAAGATGCTGCATTCCAGTTTTCTCCTTCAACAAAGTCCTCATTCTCCCACCCATCATCAGCCGTTCCAAGAGTCGTCAGTCACAAGAACATCATCCCCTGCCATATCTTGAACGGTGGCCACGATCCCGTAATCTCCTCGTTCTCTCTTTACGCATTTGATCCCAAGCACCCGAGTGGTTGCAGGAATGTCAAGAGTCTGAGTAGACGTCTCCCCATCTACATTTTTCCGGACTCCATCAACCCATAGTTCCATACGATCGGCACAGTTTGCCTTCATCGTGTAATCTAAAATTAAATTTCGGAATAAGATTAGCTAGTTATTGGTTAAGAGATTCAATTACAAGCAAATGCTCAATTTGCTCATCGCTCGATTCGCGAAAGATTGTTAGGAAAGTTGATTTTTTTAATTTAGCCGAGTTACGACCATTTTAAAATCTGGCATATACGTGATCTCGGCTTTTAATCAGTGATACTGATCCCGTCACTCAATCAATGCCCATACCCTGTTCGGCAATCGGCTCACATGCACTGCATTATAATGCCCGGCAAATTTTAGAATTTGGCCGCCAAATTTTTTTAAAGGCCTAACTCAAAATTCTGTCCCAAAACTTAAGGTCATGAGACAATTCTACGTTGATTCTGAAAATTTCGTGAAAAAATATTGAAACCCTATTGAGTTCTATTGTTTTGAGCGAAGTCAGTTTTGCAAATATCGCGAACTGAGATATGGGCGATTTTGTTCATTTTTTGCGATTATTTGAACACAGAATCCACAGTTAGGTAGATATTGAGCTGATAATCATAGAGAATGTGTAGTTTAGGCTTACCTTTCATATAAATTTAGTTTCATTCAAAAATATTGATATTTAACTAATTTATGGGCCAAAATCGATCAAATTTAGTGCGTATGCCCAAATATGGGCATATAGTTTTTAGCTCATAACTCAGTCATTTTTTGTCCAATCTTGATGAAACTTCATATACGAGTTCAGGGGACCACTAGCTACAAGTAGAGCACCTAAAATCTGGGTTTTGGGCATGTTCAGGGTATTTGGCTAAATTGGGCCTGATTTGGACCAAATATGGGCGTGGCTGCCCCGCGGGCACCGTTTGGCGGTTGGGGTCCGGGACCCCCTCAAAAGTTTGGTCACTGGTCCTAGTTTGTTGGTCAACTGCTATCTCGAAACCAAGTTTCACAAAAAAATCAGGGTGAACCCCCCCCCCCCCCCTTCATCACAGAAACATTTACCTTCGCTACATGTAGTTAATATCCTAGTAGTCCAGTTACTCTTTGTTGTGATGTAGGTAGTGCCCACCAAAAAGCACTCTCGGTTTTCCCAAAAGATGGGACTCACGGCTATTCCTTCACAGCGGGGAGTATCATCACACCACTCCCGACAACGCTCGAAACTCAAGAACTGTCTCTGTCCTAATTTCTTGGAGTCGGGGAAATTTCCAACATTCTGTTGGTAGCCTGAGTAACATCCTGAATGTTGTTATTACGGTATTAGATGATTTAGGGTATTCAACATTCCCGGGTAGGAACGTTCTCAGCCAGTATTTTGTGTGGAATCTGTGGTAAACTGTGACCAATCCAAAAAGTAGCAAGGTACCAGGTGATGTGACTTGAAAATGGCTGTGTTTAAAAAAATGTATTATCTAAATCTTGACCAATTAACCCAGTTTTTCTTACTTGGACGACAGGGAGTCGTTCGGCCAGCAGCTACATTCCGGCCAGTAGTTGCATTCCGGGATTCCCCAGGTTCTGTCACTGGGATCCATGTGGCGGACACTGAAGGTTAGACCGTTGTTAGCATTAGCCCGGTTTACATGTTGGTGACATTAAGGCCACAGGGGTGGTCCGAATTTAAACCTATCCATGGGTCTCTAATCAACATCAACAGAACTAGTATATGCCCTGAGATCAGTCAACAACATTTATATCGAGCTCCACAACATATTATCTCAAAATCTCAAAATTGACCTCGGACCACCCGATAAGTCATCGATATACTTTGAGAATCTGCTTTATGTTAGGTAATTTCAACTTAAAGCAATTGAAAAAAAAACAACATTAAAATCAAATAATTGTACTCACCTAGTGCGATAAGAGCCTTTAATAGGCACGCTATGAGAAGAAACTTCATGTTGTTCTGATGCTTTAAAAAATTTGTAGTGGTATGGCCTGAACATCAATAAAAAATAAAATTCAATATTGCTATAATAATATTATCTTAGTTTTAGTGGACGGTGGATTTTGACGTATTGAACGCACGTTTCAGTCATTTTTTAGTGAACGTTATTGAACGTTAGTGAACGTCAGTGATTATCAAAAACAAAAATTCCTGAAAACAAAATGTTTGAAATCTTGATTTCCCCAAATGATAATTATTAATTTTCCCAGACTGATACAAAATGAAGCAATCCTATTTCTGTGCACAGATTTCTAACGTTCAGAATGGAGATGTGTTCTAGTGAACGCATGTACAGTAAATGTTTAGTGAACGTTCTGTAGGCGCACTACAACTAAGAATATTATACTGGGAGCGCGAACGAAAACTCCTTTGCGACGATTATGCATTATATGGTCACAGGTCACGAGTGCGATACCCCCTATTGACAATTTTCAATTTCAATATCTTCCTCGATGTTAGTCGTCGCCTTGCGCTTTCTGCTCTTTGTATGACCGTTATCACATGTTTATGCCCTCTTGTATTCTTGTTCGTAGCCAACATGAATTGTTCTGCAATCTGGCGCCCTCGTACTACTATCGCGGAATAAGCCAATAGCTCTTCATGAATTTAGTATAAAATCGCTATTAGTTTGTAGCTTTCACAATTGATTACTATTACATTAAAATAACACTAAAGACTAGTCTAGAAATGAGACTTTATTCCATTTTTTCACAGCTGGTGTTGGAAATGGGCCCCCGTCCTACGAACAAGCCCTAACACAGGAACAGAGCCGCGTGGTAGAAGATATCAGAGAACGAGTACCGCAAGTCGGGGATCGTGTGATAGCGCACTGGCTGCAACACAGCTACTTTACAGCTAAGATTGTCAAGTATATTAAGAGCTCCATGAAGTTCGAGATCAGATGGGATGATCAGGATGAGAGTGGCAGATTCCCGGTAAGTTTCTCAACTCGTTCATCATGTGAATATTAACAAGCCTACTGAAATCATTATTATAAGTCAAGACAATTCCATTTCTGTTTTTACTCTTTCCCTGTCAACGTCATTTAATTTCCCAGATAACTATGAATACAATATTTGTCAGGATGTGACCATGGTAGCTCTAGACAAGGTTCCTGAAAGATGGGAAGTTTCCGTCGGTTCCAGGGTCTTCTTTCCTCAAGGTGAGCTCGTCATTCTAATACACATTGTCTTAGGAAATACATTTAGTTAACTTGATTTAAGATTTACCATCTATACTAGGCTAGTTCAACTGTGTTCCCTGAACTTCTGAAGTCGTAAGTGTATGAATTGTTCATGTGGCTGCGACCGAAATGATCTATCTACTCTCCAGATAGATCCAGACTACTTTTTTATCGACAAATATTAAACTGTACATCATAAGTTTTCATGTAGATATGATAACGACGTATCTCGAGGCGACCTGCTTGTGATCAGACTAGTTTCCATCCACAAGAGATTATCACGTCAATAAATGTATTTAATTGTACAAAAAGTATTACATTATAATATATTTTATTATATTATTGCTCACCATTGTTCATGCAGTGATCGTTATAAATCAAGTTGAAGTTGAGTATTAACTATTATCGAAATATTTGTTTTTCGTTTCATTCAACTTACCAGCTGCTGCCAGTTACTAGTGACAACAATCAACTTTCACTAGATCTTTATAAATCTTCTTCTCAGTTCCTCTAGATCATCGTAAATTTAGGTTATTTTTGGGCTCGCCTCTCACCGAGTACTACGTAAATTGTATGGTTCAGTGGTTCCTTTGTAATGCCCTCCCTTGTGCCCTGGTGATATGATGTAACCTGGTACTACTATAGACTAGTGTACTGATCCTTACAATGGTCCTTACAATCGGCCCCTTTTAACGTGCTAGCATGCCTAACATACCCACGTGTCTGTCCTTTGTATGTCTAGCAGTAAACACAGTTTTAAATATCAAATCGTTTTGCTGTTAGTCCCACCCTCTCCTGGCATTGGTACCTCTTTATGCTAATTAGGTAGTTAGGTCGACTTTGTTGTGTTGTTTTCGGTTGTCAAGAGGTCTATAATTGTGTGGGAACATTGAATTATGTAATAGTCTGAGTAGTTAGAGTCAAGATCATTTTCCAGTTGCTAAGCAACGGAGTAACCACACCAACAACGCTGAGTGTTGTACAGCTATGATGACGTATTAGTGGTATTGTCGGTAGTTAGGTCATTTCTGGTTTACATTCTGTGATTTGGTCCTTGTATCTGCAATTCTAATAATAGCTTAATAGTCCTCATTCCAATACTAAGTATCGATCAATATTTTTAATCAATAATAATATATTAATTCAATATCATTATTATTTCACGACAGTAACTCAAGATTGCTTGATAATAGAGGCTGTTATATTGTCACTTAATAAAGGAGTTGATTTGCAGCTACTAATTCTGGCCTTGACCGGTGACCAATATTCATGGTTTGTTGTGTATGCTTAGAAATAATTTAAAATACACCTACTTTTTACATGTCTTAGTACATTTACATATTGTTTACATTTACATTTTTACAATATGTTTTCGTACATTCCAACCTGAACCCGATGATCTTTACCTAGTGCTATTTGTATCCAGTGTGTTACCAGGGCTCTCGATATCTACTCTCTCTCTCCCTTGCTCTCTCTCTCTCTCCCTTGCTCTCCTGTATAAAACCGATTATGTAATAGAGTTAACCGCTCATTTCCCTGCTACGTGTCAGTAGCCTGTAAGCCTGGAGAACATGTTTCGTGAAACCTACAGACGCACGCAACCAGTTCGTTTTATTTGTATACTAGGTGCTACTAACGTAGGAACTTTCGTGTAGTTTTTAGATACAATTTTATTATTGAGATTATTATTTTAACATGACTTAGTTCTGTTATATAATGTGAAGGAAGTGTATTATATAGTGAGGGTGAAGGAAGTGTGTGTGTGTGTGTGTGTGTGTGTGTGCGTGAGTGGTCAGCAGGCCATTGCTCCTACATTTTACAAAGTTCGAACAATAATAATCTTTTGATCGCACGCATAAGTCTTAGTTACGGACAAATTTTGGGTGAATTTCGTGACCTGACAATTGACATATTATCCCCTATTATTTTGTATGCTATTGTAAATCAAGCATTACCCAGTGTTATAGTCGTTGCTAGGAGCCTCAGTCACATAGCAACGACTTAGCCTAAACAGACGTCAGATCTCTAAGCTTATAGCCTCATTGCATATCAGAGGTACCACAACCGGTGAACAGTGATCCTTGTTACTAAGGCCCTTGTTACTAAGGCCCTGTTTTAAAGAGCCGTGTAATAGTGATATCATGTAATTACTGGTTGCTATGTACTGCCCGGTATCTACTGTGTTGAGATTTTACACAGGATTGCAGTGTCAGTAGTAGGTACCGTGTTTAATACTGTAAACTAAGTTAACACGTAACCGTAGAGTGTAGATGTAAGTGAAGCGTCTCAAAATAAGGTTAGGATGTTACCTGATCCCAAGATAGAGACATGGTATTGGAACAGGTGTGGTACCTCTATTTCTAACTTTGGCTTTTAGTAATTTAGTTTTTTTTGTGCGAGAATTTAGCCAGTACCCACACGGGCAGTGTTATCACGTGACAGCTCTTGAGTATTCGTGAGACTTGGTCAGAGTTTGTCAGTTTGTTGTCTTGGAGAAGCATGCCGGAACTAATGTTAATTAACTAATCAATACAGTATTATCTATTTATTCTAGATCTAGTTTCTAACTATCTTATATCAACCATAATTACCACTATAGCAGCGTGGTTTAAGTTGGTTACGCTAACAGGGCCGTTAGGGCCCGTTACCATGAATTTCAGACTAGCCAATATTCTGGACAACGACAGGAATGTTTTCGTAAGTGCACGGGTGTGCAGTTCCCATGAACATGTTTTCTTTTACTTCAATCAAAACATGTTTTGTTTATTTACCAAGTCGACATACTCCTCATTTTCAGCACGTATTGCTAATGTACTAGTATACCACATATTATACACTGTTCCATTTTACCTTTGTTAGTACGTATGTACGTGCTCTCGAGAAGTCATAAAATCCTTTTCTCGGACATGATCCCCTAAACGCTGATAATTCCATCAATAATTATTCGTTTCTTGCCTGCTTAAAAAACCCATTACCCAATAATTGCTTGATTCTTATTGCATGACAGTTTCTTTATTAAAGTAGATACACTTGAAAGTGGAGGTGTACAGCTTCTGCAACAGTTTCATCATACTTGCTACCTTATATTACATACATGCGATCAGGACATTGTAGTGTTGTTCTTGACTTCTAGCAAACAAACATTCTATCACAATATATCTGTTCCGTTTCATATTCTTTCTCATTTTTCAGTGTTCTTAATATATATGTATATAATTTCTGTACCTTTGTCGCTCGCCAGTCAACGTATTCGGGATTTATTTTTTCTTCTATTGAGTTTTACTTTATCTTTCAATAAATATCCTTCAATTTTTACTATTCCAGGTCAAGTTTTATATGGGATTCTTCTCTGATTTATTTAAGCGAAAATCGCCCTGCCCTCAAAGCAAGAACTCTGTTGTCCCCGAAGAGCCACGCAATCCCAAGACAGACGGAAATGGGGAGACAAACGGACATGTGGAGACAGATGGCCCAAATTCTGCTCCTACAATGGAAGGGTTCGTCTCCGAAGTAAAGGGTCTGATTGATGAGAGAAATAAGAAACTTGATAGATTGAAATACATGGAGATATTTGTTCTGGACAATTCGCTGAGAGAAACTACTGTAGCGTCGGTTAGAGCACATACAGTGGAAAGTAAACGAGCTATCTTTGAGGAAATCAAGAAATGCGGGTTCAAATACTACATCATCGAATGTTTTTCGGCTGAGACTAGAATTGGTGACCTCTTCGTCGAAGAGCTCATCGCAGCCAAAGAAGACCTCTCGGGAGCCTTTGCTTTTTCTGAGATGTGGGATAAAGTTGTAGATTGGGTGCCACTGCCAGACATTCCGATTGGTCTTCAAAAATGTAAAAAATATGGAATAAACAACGTCATGATCGAGTTTGACCTTATGTACCACAAAATTGACTACACAAAATTTAACATGAACGAAGTCTGCAAATTCATCAAAGGGAAAATTGATTGGATCCGGGCCAATTTATCACCAGACTCCATGATATTTGTGAATTTCAGAGATTTCAGCAACACAATGACTCATAGACCTGACAGAATCTGGCATGTGTTGAACTACCTAGCTAGCCTTCCTGCAAATGAAAGGGTAACTGGCATTGCTTACGAAGACATGGGTAAAACCTTAATGGATCACTTAGCTGCCTGGACCAAAGCAGTGCGAAACGAAATGGACAGATGTGGATGGCAGGACGGACAGTTCATATTCCACGTTCATGAACAGTGGGGTATGATGCACGCTACCAACCTAGAGTGTCTCGCTAGTGGAGCTACAGGGGTGTGGTGTGGGGTGTGCACTGAGGGAGCAGCACTGGGACATGCTGATTCTTGTACCACCCTCATGAACATGATCAGGCTGGGTAACCAAGCAGTTCAGAAACAATTCAATTGCAAGTATCTCAGAGAAGCAGCTATAAAGGTGACCGAGATAGCGAGTGGTGCCAGCCCTGATCCGAGGAAGCCTATCTACGGGGACAGAGCGCTGGACATGCTGTTTGGGGGTGTCTTTGCAGCGATGGATGATGATCCCACTATATGTGAAGGGTTCGACATGGCAGAATTCTTGGGGGTGGAACGAGTTGTGAGGATCACAACCATGGCATCAGGTGAAATGATAATCCTGAAGATGAAAGAGCTGTTTGAAGATGACCCTCAGTTTACAGAAGAACTGGGCGATTTGATGAGGACACAAATTTTAGAAAATGCGAAAGAAGGTCGACGGGAGGAGTACAACAGTCAAGTTGGTTTAGCGATGTTGTTCGAGCAGTCGGGAGGTAGTCTGACACCAGCTATGGCTGCAGCTATTGAGACGTCCAACGATAACGGGCCTCATATTGACAATCTCATAGAGGAGATAAAGGAGGAATGGGACAAGTGGGATGGGAGAGATGGAGTCGCTGACAACCAGCTTACTTTCGACCACTTCTACATCGGGTTCATGGCTCCTTACTTTGGGTGTTATCGGTGTGCGGACAGTCAGCTGGGATTAAAGGCACTTGATATGGATAACGATGGAATGATAGATTGGCCTGAGTTTAAGTTTTATCTAGTTTGGGCCGGGAGACAGTATCCTAATGTTGAGACTAGTAATCAGTTGCTGGATAAAGCGTTTAGATTCGGTCTCATACCTGCAATGAAGGATGAGTGTGATAAGATTCGGGGCAAAAAATGCACATGATTTGATTAAAAATGTTAGCGTAGATTGATTTGAAACATTTCTCAAAGGTTGTAATTTATAATAATAATATTACGAGCTTCTTATTTAAAACTATTATTGCACTAATAAATTAGAATGT